ATTGTTTATTTTTCAAGTTCTACTCAGCATTTATAACGTGTAATAAAATTAGGTGTTTGGTTAAAACTGCGTCCATGTTTGGACATTTATGTGTCGCAGACGTGTTTCTTTCCAAATATAGGCATTGAACAATGAGCGACATTGACGCCCAGCTGAAGACTGGCGCCTTCTAAGGGCGGCTTGTCACCATCCCGGCCGTCAGTCGTGGCACATAAGGAAACCGCCACCCCATTAGATAGAGACCCAACAAATTACAATTTCATTCAATGTAAATCCGCGGAACGTTCTCTTAGCGATGCTAATGGCTGAACTTAGACACGCCTAATAGTTTACAGACAAGCGGATTAAGCCGTTCAGCTTCCCCATTGTATTCTGACGGGTATGTCAGTCTATATCGCGACTGGCGTCGAAGATATATACAAATAGCTTCTGTAATTAGCTATAACGGGAGTTCGCTTTTATTACCGCTACATAGATAAGCTATGCGAATGATGCGAAACATATTATCGACTAAGTTGCTTGGAATATGCTACATAACATTAAAGATAATGTTTCATTAAAGAGTCGTAAAATGCTAGTTTAAATTCGAATTTAAGTAATAAACGCAAATATATACAACCTGCAGCAAGTTGGTGTGAGATATTTCCTAAATGCTTCTACCTCTACATACTTTATCCACATAGCTCTCGAAGTACATGTGCAACATAGTAGCCACCACATTCACTCTCCTTGTATATATATACATATTTGTCTGATAGTTTGTTTTATCTGTGTGCATAAAAATTAATTAACTTACAATTGACCAAAGCGTTGTATCTGCTAATAAACCTATTTAAAGCGGCATTCGACTGCAGATAAGATTGACTACCGAGATATAATTCTACAGATTAAATACCCAGTAGCTTTGAATCAACGCCCGGCGTTTATGTAGATGAGATTGGAGAATTTATGGATCACACAAATTGTAGCTACTATTATTGAGGTTAAACAAACATATTACCTACAAGTACATGTTTAAAGATTCTTTATAATAAGTCACCTATATCTTGCTTTATATGCAAATGAGTTGAAATAACATCTTACTATTGTTCATATTAATGATTGAAATGAAAAAAAAGAGACAAGTATTTTATGAATAGACATACTGAGTAATTAACAAGGTCCTGAGAAACCTTCAATTATATTATCTGCCTACGTGTTAATTAACCGGAGATTCAGACACAATTACTTGGTTCATTAATTAAATTATAAGCAAAGAAACGTAAAAAGTACAATAGTGGTTTCCTTTTATGTAGAAGTTACTGGTACGTGGTATAGCAAAGATCGGTGCGACAGATTACTTATATAGGCGTATCACTTGTAAAGCGTACAAGAAAACGAAGACGCTACCCATAGTGTGCCAACCAGTACTGGTATGGTGAAACGTAAATAGCAGGTTGAAGGCATCCGGCTCATTGAATACGCTGACCCCATCTGATCGGTGCTGCAAGCGAGTTCGCTTTGGCAGTGCGAATGTCCACCACTATTTATCGACTATACTACTGACATTACCAAATAAAACCTAACATGCTTTTTCTAGAGCATTAAATCATCCGACTAGAACTACATATAATTCGGTTTTAACGCATTTTTAAACATTTCCGACAAAACGGTAACAAAAAACTGTCGAAGATTTAACACAGCAGTAATTGTCGTGATTTGATTCAGGAGAATATAATTCCGATTGTGGTTTTTGTTCACAATAAAGTTATATAAATCATGTTCTCTTGAAATAGGCGTTAATTTTGAAACGCATCCGTTTAAAAATAGTCACGAATTACTTTTTTGACGAAGAAGTTTAAGCACCTGTTTTTGACTTAACTTTTTCCTTACTACCAAAACTGAAATTTCAATAACTAACCAAATGTAATCAAACACTACATATTATATTGAATAAGTAGAATCGAGTATTTTGTAGCAGTAGTCACGTGATGCTAATTTGGCGTGAATAGTGCTTGCGAGTTTTCCGTAGTACGAGGTGCGACCTACTTGGCGAAAGTTGCGCTCTTCGCTATGCTTCTGGCTCACGACCTCCGGAGGTATACAGGTCAACGTGTTCTTGTAAGGAACCTCTGTTTTACTATAAACGATTAAACGATACATATTTACATAGTAATGTGCCAAAGAATTTAGAACAATGTTATGTAAGTAGGTACCTATAACGAATATTTCTATTAGGAATAAATTATGAAAAAAAAAAATATAATTCAAGCCGAAGGTGTGCACATTTTGTTGCAAAATTAACAATGATTTTTATGTTCTCTAGAGTAAAATGCATTTACTGAAATCTTTTGAAGTGGCATTCTCCTTAGTTGATCGAGGATATGATGTCGCATACTTTGTGCTATTAGCGTGCAATGCCAACTTTCTAGGTGAGTGAGGGCAGGAAGGGCGTGGAAACACATTCATGAAACATTCAAATCTTAATGAATATGACAGAAGAAACTATTTTGTTAAATTTATTCGTCCGCAAAGTTCTTAAGACCCGTTGGTGAATAATTACAATTAATTATTATCCCACATTCGAAGAATGGAACTCTGCGACATTTCGCATTTATCTTGCAAACCTGGATGCTTGATGCTATAAATAAATTGTTTGTATCTTGCACGCATGCTTTAAGTTGTTTAAATCTTGATATTTCTTCCTAATATATCAACCTCTCCTCATTGTTACATTTGAATTACACAATTTGACGTGTGAACTGTGAAAGGCTTTTGTGTAAATCGGGATCGATCAAGCGGTGGAGCCGAGGCGGCTGAGAAATACCTACAGCTCACCACGATCGGCCCTCCTGTTATTTCACGCTATTGACGCCGACGCCCGTCCCTATTTATTAATACTTTGCTGTTTGAACTTTGCCTGTGAAGACCATGACAAATAACCCTTGACTAGCTTGTGCCCCGTTGTAATGTTTATTCTAGGAAATTGTTAGATACTGAGCACGAATTCATTTTTAACAGTGTCATATCTGATACAATATTTATTCTAAAGTCACGTCTCTAAGCGTCACGCTCATTTCCGAATTTATTTGAATATGTATGCAGATTTAAACATGAAAAGTAAAAATATAGGAATATAATGTATGACACAGTGTGCGGTTTATGGGCGAGTAATTTAATTTTCGTAATGGACGGGCAGATCAAATTACTATCAGGCCGTGAGCGACACGAGACACGACGCATGAAATGAATTAGGTTTCCTTAGGCGGTATCATCCAACTGCGCATATGAGCAGATTCGCACCGTGCCAGCGCCACCACTACTTAGGTACTACATAAATTAAATTATCACTGCATTCAATATTTGGATCCGATTAAGAGCAAATCATGAAATAAGCATATAATAACATATTAAGACCATAAATAGTACATTGCCATAGGTTTATAACGAATTTCAAGAACTCGTTTCGTATGTGTTCCCACAATATTCACGTAGACGCTTTATTAGTATAAAATTGCTTTGATATCCGTGTTAAAGACCTCTAACAGAATAAAAGCGGTGGTTATTATTTTAAAGGTATTATATACGTTTCATTTAGAATACGCTTTACAGCATAAAGCTAAAAGAGTTCTATTACTTTAAGTGGTATATGGTACTTAAGACATAAAGTTTGAGCTTGTCTGTGCACACTTAGAAGAAGTCTGTAATTTTGTTTAATACGATTTTTAATTCCTTGAAAATAACTTAACTAGGGACTCATGGGCAGTTACGAGACTCGAAACTGCCTGTATAATGTTTTATACAGTAGCGCAAGACAAAGACTTTAGTTAAGAGCTTTTAATGCATTATTAGACGGCAGGTGTCTTCCAATTTTGCTGTCACAAATAGAATAAAAATATATAAGTGGTGATACCGTTGAGTCTGTTGAGTGAATGTAGATGATAACCGTTACAAATATTGCGCGTGCACCATGGATGTACGTACTCACAACTTACAACTACCATTTTCTTTACCTACATGATGTTGCAAATAATGTACCGACTTAGATAATTTCATAAACACGAACACCTGGTGAGAATAAAGGAAATGCCTACTTAGGTGCAGAGAAACGTGGTAAAACGTTTTGTCAGGAATTCCATGTTCTTACAAAAAAAATAATATATATAGGTATTAAGAAAAGTTTATTTCCCCGTGAAAATCGGAACTAATGTAAAAATAGTTGAAAGTAGGTGTGACATCGAAAACGGAGCCGTGAGCATTTTTTCACAGCGTCATGTGAAAGCGCATCAAAATTTTTCCCATGACTCATACGAAGCATGCATTTTTCAAAAAAATATGACTACAGTTTATGATTGTGTAATGATACGTCTAACGCGGTTCACTCTATGATGAAGCTACGTGTCTTATGTTACATACGCCGCTGTTGTACGTTAATTACAATGAGACGGCAATCATTAAGCTAATGCCCTTAGACTGCGAACATAATTGTTTCGTCTTTTATTTTCTCGTGTGTATCACTTCAAGCCAAACTCATTTACATTTAAGGCGACATAGCCACTATTAAATTATTATCTATAACAGACATCCTTTAAGAAATTTAATTACTCACTAGTACGATCGACTGTTCCACAAAACAGTAACTACAATAATTTATTTTATCTAACATAAATAACAGGTATTATTGAATGGAATTTATTGATAGTATCGAATGTATCTATCGGTTAAGGCTATATTTCATATCGTTTCCAATATGGTCGGAGGCATGGGTTCAGTTGTCGCACTAAGTCCACAAATTGTATACAAGTACGTATCAATAGAACACATCTCATCGATGGTTACGGCAAACGATGCTCAATATGGCCGTAAGATATTGAACGATTTACCCTATCTAGGAAGAATGGTTGCGTGCATAAGCTGAACGACTTTATATACTATAATTCTAGAGCTTCCCATGCAATTACGTACTTTAAATTGCTATAAAAGTTTTTTAACCAACACTTTTCTTTTGTTACAGATAACGAATGTTGCCACGGCCCCACACAAAGAGCACAATGCGGTTGTTACTCAGTATAGTGTTAGTGGCATACGCAGCTGAAGCTGCAAAGAAATTCGAAGGGACTTTAAGGTCAGCAGTAGACGCGCCACCTCAAGATAATCTTGCCATAGAGTCCGGCTCACCGGAGCCGGCAGTAGTCGCAGCTCCAGAAAGTTATCAGAATCCAGGAGCTCCGCCACCTGAAGACCCAGTTTCCGAAGAGCCAGCTGAACCGTCTGCCGCCGCCGCCGTGCCCGAGACTGCCTCGGGAGGTGTTCCACCTTCAGCGCCTAGCGGGGCATCAGCTCCATCTGCTCCTGCCAATTCCTTGGAGGAATGTGATCCCGAGATGATTGGATTTGAGCTTGTCACAGGGTAAGAGAATACTGTTACGTCAATTAATTGTGCTGTACATTAGTTCCCGGAGGGGAGTGACCGATAATTATACGTAATTAAGATTATTAAGTCGATGTAACTAGCCGACAAGTGAAGTTATCAAGATTCAACTTCACTCATAAGCTGTCTTAGGAAAGTGTTTCACAAGTAACATTGCGCAAACCGGATTTAATAAAATGCATGAATTAACTATTTTAATTTTAATTCTTGTGTGCATAAATGATGTGATTATTACATTATCAAACTATCATTGTACAGATACGTGTTCTCGGCGCCGTCTCACATTCTAGACGACATCCCCGGCACACTTATGTTGACCGACTGCCTTGAGCAGTGCCAGGCCAACGATACCTGTCGTGCTGTCAACTACGAGACTGGACTCTGCGTTCTCTTCGGTTCCGATGCTGACCAATTACCTGGTGAGTATCAAACTAGTGGACAATACGAAGTCATTACGTTTATTGACCAAAGCTTGGAATATTATGAACTAGACGCTATGTAAAGAAAATGTCACATAAATATCTGTAGTCTGACATTTCCAATGCCATAAACTTTCCTCTTCAATGGCCGAGTTACAAAGACATGATATCGTTTACGCCATAAATCTTAAATACCGCTATTTCAAACGATTAATAACAGAATACAAAACCTATCGTTTATCTCTAACAAATGTTGACGAGATCGTTAAGAAACATATCTACAACAATAAAACATAAATCAAAAACTGTTTTAATAAACCTCATTCAAACACCTCTACCAAGATCATGAATGTGTTAATAAGCGGCCAAGTGTATGAAAAATATGAGTAACAATAACGGCACAAATATATAGATGCGTGCTAGCGTATGGTATAATCGGGACATAGCAGGTGGCTGTGTAATGGCGCCACAGCGTACTCTCGTTTGTCCGACATAGAGGTGTGAGCTCACAAACAAGCGAAGCGTTCCGATTTTTTGCTTGAACACATCATTTGAATGCCAATAACGGCATGACCGTGCTCACTCATCATGCCATATTGGGAAAAAATACTCTCACCGCGAAAAGGAAAACATGACCGAGTGTATTTAAACAAGAGTTAGTGAAACGCTTTGACCTCATAACCATGAATAGACGTCCTTATTATACACAATTTTTGCTTATGACAAAAAACAGTTCATTAATATTATCGCGCTGGTTTTTTATTAAAGTTAGTGGCACATGTTTATTTTTATTTCAATATGAAATATGACTACCACGATTTTTTGCAGTTGCAGTATTTAGCACATTCATACATTATGACCGCATTGGAAATGACAATGCTTGCAAAGGTACCATAAAGTGGCAAAGACAACTAAAAAGGCAGACTAGAAAACAGCGTACTGGAATGCACTGGACAATGGTTATTTTTTAACCGCAAAAGCACGACAGATATGCAAAAAATGAAGTTACTGCGATTTTAATAGAATTAGAATAAAGAAAGCCATGACTAACAAAAATGCTAACGAACTTGTAACAAATGCATTCTTGCCATGTTTAAGCAAATGTAGAGGTTGTTTATTCACGTTCAGTACAATAGACCAGGTTTATCTCGAACGTGTATGTTCATAACATCGGTAGATAGGCACGATAATAGCAGTGAAAAGGAGATGCCGATTAAGGGTCATATTGAATTAAGCCGTACTGAAATTGCCGCCAAGCCGTCAGTTCAAGGAACTAAGCGATGAGATCCAATTATGGAAGCACAAATCGCTCCGGTCGACTCGGTTTGCGGATTTTCAAATTCGCTAAGGTTGAACGCCTCTTCGTCCAGAACACGTGCGTGAGCATGAAGAATTTAATGATGACACGAGCGCCACTTTTCTCATATTTCTTGCATAGGAGTTAGATGTTCCTTTTTATTTCAACCGATAAAAATAGGACGAAAGGATTTAAACGTTACCACTTAAATTTTGAATATGTACAACGAAAATGTAATAGTAATTTCCAAAATTGTTTGTTTGATGTAAAAAATAAAAGTGATTTGAATTTAGTTATTAATTTTGTTTATTTTTTACAGGAGCATTAACGAAATCACAATTCCCCGTATTCACGATTTACGCACAAAAGTCGTGTCTTGGCGTGCGTCCTTGTGAAAGGGCTTGGTGCTTCGACCGTGTACGAGGTTACCACCTCAAAGGGCGAGGCAAGAGGACACACACAGTCGGCTCAAGGCAGATGTGCCTTGACCTCTGTCTCGGTGAAAACGAGTTTGTTTGCAGGTTAGTTAAATACCAGACAAAATACTCAAAGAGCAACATTTGAACACGACTCCACACATGTCTAAATTGCTTCTAGGTAATACATTGTTAGCACTAACATGTTTTTAAAATACAATTTCTCTTTTAATCTTAACGAGTTTGCCGCTGTTTTCTTAAGATAATTTTAATAAAAGAACGATATAAATAAGATACATTCATATTCAAATAAAGTCACCTGTCCTAGCTGGTGTACTAGCCAGGCAAATATTCACACGTTTATTACAATAAAACATTCATATTTTTGTCGCTAACTTAGACATGAAATTTATGTTGCGTCTCAAAACCACAATAGAAAGGATGCGGTGAATTTATTGAAATCACATTCATCCTGCACAACGATAGACAATCCTGTTTCACACAGTTTATAGAAATGGACGAGTCATGTTTCGTTAAACGTATTCGTGCCTGATAGGAATGCAATAAGAGGATAATTATCTCTAATAAGGGCTTAACAAAGATTGATCTAGCCTTTGAATCTCACGTAGTAAGTACCTTTACAAAATTAATTTGAAGAAGTTTTTTAAAGTAAATTCTCTCTATAAATTAAAGAAAAAAACCTGCGCCTATCATAGCTCTATATTTGTTTTTATATGTATAAACGGTCACAGAAAACTGTGCATCATTCTATGTAATCAATCGATATTTGAAATTAAATGGAGATGTATTAAGGTAGTTTAACTTAATGTTCCTAACTTAACTCGTAAATCCAGACTGCCTTCATGACTTTTAAATGGCGGTAGTTTATCAGCAGGATATAACAGAAAATCGAAACAAGTTTGATGCTACCTCTAGGTGTAAAATACACGCACTTGGTAGGATATTGAATAAACTATATCTAATACGATTCGTTTTCCATGCATATTTAATTTTAATTTACTGGAATCTTAATATAGATTACAGATTACTTTAATTTCACTTGGTATTATTAACTTCATTAAACATTTTAAAGAAAACTACAAAGTAGAGCGGTGTATGGGCGGAGTGAAACATGAATGACCCGCAAGCTCTTCTTGCCCTCGACACGACCTGTGCGCGATTGTACAGACACTTGCTATATTATTAGTGCAAACATCTACGTACAAATAATAAATTCCGGGATTTGTACATGTACAATGTAGATAGTAATTATCGCGTTCGAAGAAAGTATTCAAGCAACAGATGCTACAGCAAAACATTTTACTGAATAACTCAACATACACGAGTTGTAGACGTTAATAGTTTTTTATTATTTCATTGTTCGTGACTCTTAACAAAACTGCCTCACATAGAAAGAAAATACTTCAATGCATAGGATAGCAGAGCGCAATCTAAGAGTTAATTAACGATCCGATGGCATCATGCCGCTGATGTTGATGCAATTAAAATTACTCAAGGGATTTGTAGAAATTGAAGTACGTTAATTGCTATCGAAGTTTGTTACAATTAAAATAGTCTACGAGTGCTTCTACGGTGTGATTTAACATGTGATAAATAATTTCAGAATTATTTAGGTACTTGAAAATGTAGCTTTATGTTTAAACCCATCATAAGTAGACGTTGGACATTGTCCATTACAATCGAACTAACAAGACGTGAAAATAAACTGAGGAGGTCATGACTGTACTCCCTTCAATCAGATGCTATCATACATTGACTGATTCAACATTGTGCCTAACGAAGACAGTTATGTATGTAAATACGTCCTTTATCCAGTGAATGGATAAGCGACACAACAAAATTACTAGTAGAGAGTTAATATACAAATATTTATCATCAAAGTCGGCTCATTAGGTATCCATACGAGTTTAAACTAATTTATAGATAAGCCCGATAACGAAGTCAATCAGCCTTCACCAAGTTGCCATAGATGGCGGGCTGCGCGGTACATCTTTGCGGCTCAGTTCAGTGGATAAGTCACAGCCTCTTCCTGGTAGCCGTTCCGTTTCTGAATTCTACAAACGAGCATTATATACAAAGCAGGGAGGCCAATTGAACGGCCTACGTCTCAGGCGTCTAATGTAGCAAGACACGACTGTCCTATTGTGTTTATTTCCTTGTACGGTTTTTGATATCATTAACATAAATAGTGTACTGCGTCAGACGCTCACATTCGATACACGTATTTCCGTTGGCGTGTTCAGGTCAAGCTTGCGCTGCTCAGTAACGATTGCGGATTGTAGCGCTAATTTGCTTCTGAACGCGTGCACTACGTGCGTCCACGAGTGTAGGCCAACAGTATTATAAATCGAAACGCATTTCTTCTCTCCGACTAGAAAGCTCGCTTTATATCCGTTAATTCATTTTCCGAGTATCATCTCAATAATTCGTAGTATTGCCACTTAACACCGTTTGGTTATCTGCACTTATTTTTGAATCAACCGTTAGCCGAAAGTGCAATAAAAACTTTGCCAATTTACCTAAATCTATGACCTCGACATACTTTATATTCGAATGAAAGCGCTTGAAGAATAGTTTGTACAGTGAATATTGTATCTTTGCAATGTCAATGACAAAAGCTCAAAGCAATAAATATCGCGATTTCACGCCATCATCTCTGAATTCTTAACTAGGGTTGGGGTTAAACAGCGATTGTAGAATTAAATGCTGGATTTTACGTAGTGTAGCTCGCTTCGACACGTGTACCGTTGGATACAAATCGTCGTATCTCCATTGAGTCGAGCAGGCTGCGCAGGCGCACCCCGGGCGGCGCGCATCGCGATCGTCGACAGTCACGACATTTGGCAAATATTCCCCGGACGTGGCGGGCAGAGTGCCGCGCGGTGTGGGAGCGGCTTGCCCTATCGCTTCCTGCTTCCACGATACAATAACCGATAAGCCACATATTGTTTTCCCCTTCAAGCCCTTTCCGCACTTTAAATTAGGTATCGAAGATAATTCTTCAGACGAGTTTCTCATCGAAAGATTTTTTGTAATTATATTTTATGGCTTTATATAATTAATGGTTACACAGTTATTCAAAACAAATAACAAGAGCATAAAATAGATACTGAATAGTAATCAAATTAATAGTATTGCGGATATTCCTGTTCTTATTTAGTCACGCTTCAGATTGAGAGATGAAGATACACATTACGATCAATCGAAATTATGGCCTATCAATAAATTATACATTATTATTTTTGTAACTTTGACCACCAACGACGCTTTAACATTGTAAACGTAATTTATACTTGCGTTTAATCAAAGTTTGTATGATGTTAAAAATTATATAGGAACGTTACGAACATCGTGGGTATATTCCTAAATTACATTTATAAAGCATACATACCGGTAGGATCTTAGTGATTAAAACTAATTTGTCTAAAAGTATTCAGGCACAGATTACATTAACAGTAGCAGTTAATAGTAGGAAGCCTAACATAAACCTTTGAGTACAGTTAATCTGGTAGCGTGCTGCGAATATTAAAACAAATTTTGATTTTATGACCGTACGTGAGTATACGTAAGAAAGATACAGTTGAACAAATTGCAGGTAGTCAGTGTAATTATTATGCGATGAGGTAGAGGCATCCGAGCTACCCGTACGGTTAAATGAACAACGGCTACCGGTAGCGGGACATACGCAATCATCAACTTTAAACATTCTAAATTAATGTCTTCTTGTAATAGACTGCAAGCCGTTACACAAGATCGAGATAGCAACCACGAAATCAAAGCAAATAACGACACGAACCAATTAATTTTATAAATAGCAAACTATCTATTGAGAAACGAAACAGAAAGTTCTCATGGCGAACACAACAAAGAAATGCGCTCATCTTATGTGAAAATCACACAGGTTAGCGCAAGGGTCATCTGATCGGCTTCGATTGTACATCAAGAGAAAATATTGAGCTAGATGAACAAGATAATATTATACGGGTGGTCACTAAGCACAGAGCAACATTATACATTGAAACGTCACAGTTTTATACAGGTATAATGTTAATGAACACGAAGCATATTATTCATAAAATATATATACATACATTATTTATACTAATGAAATCGAACACAAGGAAAAACTGCATAATAAGATATTTGAGAAGCGTTACATTAGACTTGAAAATACAAGGATTACAGTCGTGCAATTTTTATAGGGTTTACATGATGGGAAATTAAATCAGCGTATAAGTAAATATCGTTGGGACCAGACTTACCCAAGCTGTATGCAAACAAAAGACCTCATTGAATATAAAGCCATTATGATTACGACAACTCACATAGAAGTTGAAAGTAAGAGTAACCTTGTAAGTGAGTCTTTTAATTGAGAAAGCACTGCGCACGCCGTGGTACGCATACCTACACTTGTACTATTAACTAGGACGTTAAAACTATGTTGCTACAACGACTCACTCCGGATTATTACTGCGACTTGACTTTAAACAGCTGTGTCATCTTCTTAGTAGTTTCTATCGGTAAGCAGTGTTAATCTCGCGCTACATAAAACCAGTCTGAATCTAGTAAGACTTGAGAAATAGAAACTAACGGTCAGGTCATCGTGTCAACTATGTATTATAAATTACTATAGGAAGCTTCGTTAAAATTGATAATTACTTTCAGTATTAATCACGATAGTTAATTGATAATTAAATGGTGCAAGCAAAATAGCGTCAATCTCACTATGCATGCGGTTAACTACTTGGGAACATTCACACAATAAAAAGTGAATAAAACATAGCTGCTGTTAACCGCGCGAAACATTGTTGCAGATCGGCGAACTACAACAATAAAACAGGGGAGTGCGTGCTCTCTAACATGGACCGTATTACACTGGCGGGAACCAACTCTTTCCAACCAAACGAAGGTACAGACCATCTTCTTTTTTTATCTATTTTCACATAGTTTGAAATTATGTATTCTAAATAATCATTGTTTATTACCTACAGACACCGACTATTTGGAAAACAACTGTGTGGAGGAGCCTACAAAACTTTGTGAGTTCAAGAAGATGGGTGGTCGTATCCTAAAGACTGTGGACTCTGTATACCAAGACGTCCAAACGGTTGAGGAATGTCGTGAACTTTGCTTGAACTCGCCCTTCCGTTGCCACTCCTACGACCACGGTGACACTGGTGACCATGTCTGTCGTCTGTCTCACCACTCTCGTGCCACACTTGCTGATATTCAGGTAAATATAAGAACCAACTTCATTTTCTATCTATTTAATTTTAATTGCGTATAGGATGATAAACCAATTGAATTCTTTGTTTAGGATCCTTACTTGGAAGTTCCTGAAGCAGCTACCTACGAACTGTCATCTTGCTACAATGTGTCCATCGACTGCCGTGCCGGTGACATGGTTGCCAAAATTCAAACGTCTAAGCTTTTCGACGGTAAGATCTACGCCAAGGGCAGCCCTAACTCCTGTGTCGTAGATGTTAAACAAAGTCTTGAATTCGAGCTGCACATGGGATACAATAATCTGGAGTGCAATGTTAAACAGAACGGACTTGGCAGGTAAGATACTTTTCAACTCTCTGAAGATATTGGTTAAATGTTAATTTAATTTCAGTACTCAACTTTAACATTTTCTTTACAGATACCTCAACGATGTCGTCATTCAGCATCATGACACCATTGTTACTTCCTCTGATCTCGGCTTGGCTGTGACTTGCCAATACGATCTCACCAATAAGACTGTTGCCAACGAAGTTGACCTGGGTATCCACGGAGACATCCAGACTGGTCTGTCCGAGGAGGTCATTGTCGACTCTCCCAACGTAGCTATGAGAATTACCGACAGAAATGGTGACGACACCATTGCATCTGCTGAAGTCGGAGATCCTTTGGTAATTATATATCTTTTTATAACATTATGTGCCCCCATTAGCATTATATCCATAAATAACCATCATAAATATTCTCTTTTAGGCCCTACGCTTCGAGATTATGGACCCGAACTCACCATTCGAAATCTTCGTACGAGAACTTGTTGCCATGGATGGTGTTGATTCCAGCGAAATTACCCTCATCGACAGCAATGGTTGTCCCACCGAGCACTTTATTATGGGACCTTTGTTCAAATCAGCGAACAGTGGAAAGGTAAGATTATTTTTATATGAAAAGTAATCTTCCACACGTAATTACTAAAGAGTAACAATTACGTATAGTAAAAACAGTAAAATTGTATCTTAAAACTTAATGAAGTGGTACCAGTCCATATTACTTTTAAGTACTAAGTTTTTGTATCTTGCCGAAGCAGTAAAAAAAGCACCAACGCGTGTGAAGGCCGGCAGAAACTCGTAATGAAAATAATTGACTCATTTATCTACAGCTTCAATGAGAACAATTTTAACGAGCGATTTGTTCAATCTTACAGATGCTGTTGTCTCACTTCGATGCCTTCAAGTTCCCATCTTCGGAAGTTGTCCAGTTCCGTGCCTTGGTAACTCCGTGCATGCCAACGTGTGAACCAGTGCAGTGCGATGGCGGCCCGAACGAACTCCGCTCCGTCATGTCTTACGGACGTAGGAAGAGGCGTTCTACTCCCGCGGCACCCACAGACGATATGCTTCTTGTGCAGACCATCCAAATTACTGACAAGTTCGGTTTTGACAAACAGCGCGCTAAGAATGTCACTGAAGACTCTGTGTACGTCAGAGAGACCGAAGTTACTTGCGTAAACGCAGCGGGAGCAATGCTCGCGGCAGCTGCTTTCCTAGCAGCACAACTAGTCGTACTAGCAGCTTGGACCTGCAGTTGGCAGCGAAGACGCGCTGCTGCTAAAGCTGCTGAGTTGCTTCCAGGACCCAATGCTCCCTCCGCCCTCTGCAAAGTCTACGATGCCAGTTTTTCTCGTGCGCACCAGAGGCATTTCTAAATAAGAGAAGACGTGTCGACGTGATCAGCGTCCGCAATAGTAGTATATTTCGTTAGTTTAAAAACCCCCGTCGAGTTCTGGCTCGTGTGACGATATCCGCTGGGCGTCTCGTCCACCGAGTTCAGAGCAGCGATAGCGGTTATTTAATGGTTAGTGTCCGAACGCTTCCCCAGCACAGCACTGGACGCGGTGCTGCGGGGGCGCGCGACACAGAGGCGGGGACGACCACAAGAGCGTGCGCGAATGTGGACGTATGCGAGTGCGGCGCGCAGTGTGACCGTGTTGTGAGTTTAGTGCGTTGAATGCGTTTTGTATGTGAGGTCGCTCGCTTGTCCCCGTCCCCGGAGTCGTCGGCGGGACCGCGGCCGTGAGTCGTTATCAAGATCACGTCGCTCATTCGTTCACTTTACGCTCGGACATCCACTCAAGGAAGTCTGAATACGTATTGTACCATATTTTTTTTAAAAGTAGCATAAGCCTGATTTTAATGATATGTAGTGATAAGTAAAAAGTAACATTTCAGTACCTTTTAAGTAGATAACCGAACGTGCGACCTAAGTCAAGAGACGATGGATTGACGGCCGTCCCGACATCGTAATTTATTTAAATTAGTGTAGTTTCTTTTTTACGTAATTTATGATTGAATTTAATACTATTTAATAAAATTTTAATATAACTGAGATACCTACCTAAACAAACGAAAGCTTACGACTTACAAAATGTGCTATTCCATGTAAACTGAAAGTATTTTATTATGATATCTACTAGTGCCTTAATAATGAGATGTTAATGTATTAAAATGTTGTTTAAACTTTGTACTTAAGCAGCATTTAACTTGTTTCATCCGTCCAAATTGTCATTACTTAAAATAAAAATTTCCAAAATATTACCTGGTTTTATTTCGTGTAATTGTAGCCTCACACGTTATTTCATAAAGTAACAAAGAGTCTGCTCTTTGCACATACACTATTCAATGCTAATCATTAATTAAACATGATTGTTAAAACACCGACTCATTAAAACCCATCTGGACGTGTCGGTCAGGTAAAGAAGAAATAAAACAACTACATATCAATTAACCGCCATGATATTTTATGATTGGCAACTAAAAACAAAACTTGAGCTGTCATTGAACCATTCTTTTTGTGATGAACCAGTTCCACACGGCCAAAAGAGTATTATAAATGCAAAAGTCTGGTAATAAAGGCGAAATAAAAAATAGAGTAGATTTGAGCAGTGACTTGAAATTGCACACATCAATGAGATGGGATCTTGGAGTTAAGTTCTTGGCACCATCACGTGTGAAGGGGCACGGCGGTCGTTCGTGCGCTAGATAAGATCGGCGCGCGCGACGGCACGTGTCCTGTGTCGCGTGCCGACTTGAGAACAACTAAGCGCAGCCATTAGTAGCCCGCAACAAAGAATTTGTCCCTACAAGCGTTCTTTCTAGATTTAGATTAGCGACGGTGTTGAAAAGAAATAAAATTAAGCCTTTTTGAGCTCGCCGCTAAAGCGCCAGTTGCTTTATAAAAAAAGGTGATTCAAGATGGTATTAGGATACTCTCGCGTACCACACATAGAAAAAAAGAGTTGATAACTTGCTCGCAAATGTTGCTCTGTTATGGACATAAAATTAAATGGTCAGTGAAATGGGAACTGGTTTTCATTAAAGTTGCAGAAATTTTATTATATACAGCAATAACCTAGCCCTTACAATACGGTTTGATATCACAAACATAATCATATCTTAGATTAAGGTAACGAACGATAAAAAGCAGGTTTCCTTTACGAGAAAATTTATTGATTCAATAACCAAACAAACTCGATCACATACTTTACAAACTACCTATTATGAAAAACAGAAACAGAAGCAATTCAGAGACACCAAAACCAGGTTCACTCTATGTAGAAATAAACAAGAAACCTTTGTCGGTGTTCATAGAATTTGCGCTAATGTCTACTAAAGAAAAGCTTTTTAACAATCTCGCTCGTTATAGAAATGCTAAAAAGGCTTTACGTTAGCACACAAGTGTCCATTCCAGTGAATATTATGGTGCCATCTACCACACAATTTATTAGACTAGTAAATTGTGTTCACGCAATACAGCCTTTTGAATAGAACATAAAAATCTAACCAGTTTTCAATTGAACGCCCAGTACTAGGTATAAAAATAATAAAATGTAAATGTCTTGTGAAAGCCGAGGGCGGTCACAATTTTACAGTAGTCGACAGGCATTTTCGAAGAACTATAAAATTCAAATATTGAATGCAACATTGTGCTGCAGATAAAGTCGTTTACAATAATATGAAATATTCATAAAAGGGAATCGACGGTGGCCACCGGAATCGCGAGGAACGAACAAGAAAAAACAAAATAACCTGAACAATCGACTGGTGAACATCGGTCATGGGACAAGTCTACCAGTCAACATATATATTAAACATCGTCATGTCTGTATAAGGAACGTCCTTGGGACGCTCTAGTACAGGGAAGAGCTTGTACTCGATCAATATCGGCCTCTTTTGTATCTTGTTCCGATCCTACTTATTGAGCCAATACTTGAAGATTTTATCTCGCGCTCGGCATAGCGACACAAATGAAATATTGCTGGGACGGACTCCTCATGAAATATGTAATCTGATTAACTATTACAATAAATGAGTCATGTTGAGAACTTAAACAGTCCAACGACCATAAAACGGATAAACTAATACATTTATGAAAATTATTTAAACACTTTTAAGAATTAATTAAAATACATATTTGCATAAAGATACAATGACACCTTTATCACTGATATGCTCCAAAGAAGCCTTAAAGTTTTAAAATAATTTTCATTAATGCGACTGCTGAATACCGGATTATTCTAAACTTATTCAAAGATCAGGGTACCGTGATCATTCACCGTAACGCACAAAGACAATAGACAATTACATTTATGCAAATTCAATTCATTCGAGTAAAGCTGCATTATGTTTTGCGTTTATCGTCTATTTTATTACACATTTTGTATCCCGCACATCGGCCGCATTTATAGGCGCTGGCGCATTTGACTGTCACAACTTTACAAGTTAGTTCCACTTTGACGGTGACCACCAAGGCGTTATATTTTGCATTCTGTCTACAATATATTAAATACGACGGAAACAGTCCAACAAAAGAGCATGGAATTGGATACAAAGTTAGTACGAAGAAAATATTATAGAGAATTTACTCGCATGCCATATTATTCCGTCAAGCAATCGGATAAATTGCTTCTAAGAGAAATTATGCTCAAATCTCGACCATACGACAATAATTATCAGATCTTTTGGATTAAAAAACTACATTATAACTGTCCAGTTTTTATCTTAAAACAATCTTTTTAATATAAATTTAGCCAAATATGTATTGAGATAATGTCTTAGAATTTCCCGTATGCTTAATCTTGATAGACTGAATTCCCAACCAAGTGTTGATTACTGTCACTTATCGTATAGGAATCAACATAAGCGAAGTAAATGCCAAGTTAAAAATTTGATAAAGAATTTTAAAGAATACAGAGACGCATTATGCACCGAAATTGGAAGTTATAAAAAGGGAAAATTGAACAAACAGACGAGACGATTAACGAAAGTTAAGTAACAATAATTATCTCAGTACGGAACTGAATGGCTACTTTTGTAACAAAAGTGCATTAACTTAACCTTTTTAATACTAACTAGGACACTTTCGTTTGGAAAGGAAAGTAAAAGATGACAAAGGTATCTTTTATGTTCTCGTATTTAGGAGAAAGGTCTGTTAATTTTCAAATATTTATAGGAACAAATGCTCGTGCTGTTGCTAAGTATGTAAAAAAAATATGGTTGGTATTTTTTTAAAGAATGTAACTTTGTGATGATAAATGTTAAAGTAAATGTGGTAGTTTGAAATGTCTTTCATCCTTACCCTGTTTCATTTTGAGTGAAATTTCTGGATAGTCGTGAATGTTTATGTACCTAAACTGACTTTTATTTTCCTATGTTGACATAGGCTCTGTCTTTCGTAGCTCAATCTATGTAAAGAAATTCCACACAGATATATGCAATATGAATATTATATATTCCATAACAACATTAAGCAAAATTTAAAACTTCATTACCTACCCCGAACTAGTGGGTAAGTATAATTTTATGTTTTGCAATCATCCAAGTCTTGGAAATTTTACTTTAATCTAGAAAGCACTAAATAGTTTTACTGAAGTCAAATTGCTAATTTAAATAAATAGCAGAATATTCAAGCTTTCTGTTGTTCAAAGGCGCCATTAGTAATAATAAAGTTGTTCAGGATTTGCTGCGTTATTTTAACATATTATCTCCGTCAGCCACAATTTATCAGCTCGTATAAATGTTTACTGCGAGGAATAATCTTGATAATTATATTATTCCTTAGAAATTAACGTTCCCAGCAAATTATTTTCTTCTGCAGTAAATCCAAATTTGTATCCATTTTATTTACGATCAAGTCTATAACAGGCGCATCTTCGACCAATAAAAAGGCACCAGTTGTTCACTGCGAGAGCCCTTTAAGGCAAAACTCAATTTTGAGGTGCGAGAATTCATAAAAAACGAGATTGGCAACTGTTATGGAACGAATAATCTGTTAACAGATCGTAAATCAGACGGTACTGGAGATAAGAGAGCATCCGGTGGACTCACGAAGCGCAATCGATTTGGACTCATTATATGGCTATTGCTCGGCGCCAGTTATGGATATTCGCTGCGCAATTTGTGTATTATTTGCATCGGGATAGTTCTTCGATACCGCGATCACGCAGGGGCTTTCTCAATGCGAAAATAAACGGAGACAAGCTCAAGAAATAAAATCATGCCGATGACTAGAAGCGCTCAACAATATCTAGATAACCATTTAAAACCACATAATAAATTACGATTAACGGTTCCTATTAAATAAATAATACGTTACAAACGATTAATTTTAAATTATGATACCAATAAATCAGTGTCATCATTATTTTGAACACTCAATTTATATCTCTACTAAATCCTATTATTAAGTTTGCAAAAAAACTTTGATAAAAACGATTAGTATCGATTATGTAGAAAAACTTCCAGTATTTATTTTATTTCTGCGTGGTCAGTAAATGAGTGGGCGTGCTCTCCAATTTGTTGACGTTGAGGTCCTGATTGTATGTTTGTACAGGGATGCACGATGAGAGCATGCGAAATATCCGCCGAGGTGGGCGGCACGCGAATGGCATCTGTTATATTATTGAATCCAGTATTATCGTTGCAAGTGCAATATTTACTTCAACAATAAACTGATTTGTTACCTGATTCAATTTAAATACGCTAAGTGGTATCGTCGGTTTCGATGTGTGCGTGTATAAATATTTCCGAGCGCGGTAGAGTCTAATGCAGCCTGTCTGTTTACCGCAATTTAGCCATCAAATCAAATTAGTTTATAGATGTTGCGATATTTTCATCCCACCTGTACAAGATATTTCTGCACTATAAATACAAAACAATTTCAGTCTCTATGATGGTTTGCTTTTAACGCAAAGTCTAAATATTGTTAGGAAAAAATAGAATTATCGTTTCTACGAAATGATCGGTTGAGTCAGGAAACATTTCAAACTGGCAGAAGGAAAATGGTGGTGGTAATTTAATAACTGTATTAAATCAAATGTAAGTATGCAAGGCTCTTGAAGGTCCGTTACGTGAGATTTGAATCACGGTATTTATATTGTACATAATTTATTTTGGGATCGGATGAGTTGGTACTCGCGTGAAACGTCGGAAGTGATCAAAGCGGGATCACGAAGCGCGGACGCGCTAACAAACCGCTAATAGACGATCGTGTTCGTGACCCCGCCCTCCGCGGCCCTCCCTGCCGCCCGACCACAACAATAATGTCCGAACTGACGGATACTATTATTGCATCTTGCTCGTTTACACAACACCCACGTGTATCTGCATACCAGATACCTAATAAGATTTGTGAGTCAGACCGAGATCAAATCAATCGCGCCTTCAGCAAGACGGTAAATAAATAATGATTGGTATATTCCAATTATTGCAAATGGATACGAGCAGTGAACAAGATGATATCGGTAATGTTATTCATGAATAGCTGAGTACACTAAACACTGCCAACATTAAATATATACTACTGCATTTATTTGCAAGGAAATGTGAACAGACAACTGTAAACTTCCTATGCTCATCTATCACTTGCAGTCATAAATTATACTTTATATAAACTAGAGCAGGGAGGTGAAAAATTTCATCCTAGCTGTATGTTAGTGTTACTAGGCTAACTAGAGTTAGGACAACGATGAAACAATGTTTGTTTTGTGTTCGCGTCTAAATATTTTAAAACGTTTGATCAAAGCAGCATCGCGTTTGTCATGTGAGGTAGCAGCTGTTTGCTTTAAATCAAGGATGCCATAGTATTTTAGGCTTTAATACGCAACCTATAAATAATATACATACAACAGTAGACCATAAGTTTAGACTACATGTACAAACAATGACTATGAAACATTGTTATACAAGTTTAAAAGTCTCGTTCCCAAACATAACAGACTTCATGTTTAAAAAGAAGTCAAGAAGTCAACCAGTCAATCAATTCAGAAGTCGACTCACCCTTAATCGCTGGTCGGCGACTGTCCATACGCGACTGGCAAAGTCATTAGAAGCTCCTACGATGTATGCGCCCGTTGAGTCGAAGTCAACTGACATGACTCCCGCGTTCGATCCTACTAGTGTACCTCTTGTTTCCACCATACCTGAAAATGTTGTGAAGATTATCCTTAATCAATATTCGTGAATAAAGACTATTCAATAGAAACCATTGGATCACACACAGCCTATTACTATAGGCTCTTACATGGTTCGAGTTAGAAAACAAAACATTGAATTGAAGTTTTAATTAAAGAAGAAAAGTGTTTCAGCAAATAAAAGCAAATTTTAATTGTATCAACGACTGTATAGTCCAGGTAGTCGCCTTATCACCTGACATACTGTTTATAAAAAAAAATATCTGGCTCGCTGTGCAAGTAATTAGGGCTCAAATTCCAGTAGGTGAGAATAGGCACCCGCAAACCTAAAGATGACTTTTGAAAGAATCAATGGTTATTGCCGGTAAAAACCAATTATACTACTTTTCTTCAAGCCTTCCAATACGTAAGCAGCAAAAACCAAGAAAGATATATTAAACTTACATTTAGTAACATCCCATAATTTGACTTTTCTATCAGCTCCACCTGTCGCAACAATTCTGTCCGTTGGACTCCATTTTACTGCATTTACTTCACCGTCATGAGCATCCTGGGATAACAACTCCAATCATTAAACTATACATTATTCATTAATAATACGAAAACACACGCCGAAGTCTCCCAAACATTAAAACACTAAGCTTTTAGAAAACCGCATGCATGCCTTGGAACTTCGGGATATTACTTACAAATCTCAGTGCAACTTTATTCGGCAAAATAGTTGCGAAATAAGGCATCGAGTCCAATATTTTGTCTTCAGAACTGCCTGACCCACTACTCCTACTACCACTCTCTCTAGCTGCCTCCTCCAACTCTTTCCGCACCTTATCACTTTTCTTTCTGAAAGAAAACATTTCAAACAAACATAAGACGGATTCCCAAGTCTCTTTGTTGCGACTTTTATTACCGCTTTGACCGCTTTTCCGCGAAGCCATTTTTGCAGGCGGACTAGTCGATACAACATACCACATTTTATGGATACGACCTATTTCTTTTGCCCAACCATAAATATTAATATCAACATGCATAAAACACAGCAATCGTGGTAATTATTAATTAGTCTTTAGCCTTATGCGTCCAAAGCATCTGCTACTAGACATCACAATTTCCCGTCTCTACGAATCAAATCAATCAAGGTGCGTATATCCAGAATTCAGAATAATTTTCATGCACGATATCCCAATACATAATTGATGCCAATTTAACTGATAAATAAATTCTGCATACGAACCTTAATGAATGTATGTTATCGGAAACATTTTCTGGTCAGACATTGTAGTACTATTTCGTCCTACATTTCCATCAAATATGGCACTATCTACCATTCACTAGTAGTAGTGTCTACCGAGCAATAGTGCACAATCCAATTAATTAAAAAAACCATGCAAACACGTTACCAATATAATCGCTTGAAATAAATAAACTTTAATATCACACTGTATTTAAAATTGTTAATATTGTGAACCAAAATAAATGATTGAATGGATAAGAATAGATCTGATGACATGTGAGTTTATAAAATTAAAATCACATTATTAAAGTGAGCGTTGGAAAGACAAATAAATATGGAACTTCAAAGGCGAATTAAATTGTAAATATACGGACTAGCGTAAACAATCGCTAGCAGTATCAATATAATATGCAGATACTACACTACAATTTTACGCGATCACGAAAATGTATCCACATCAATTTAACGACTGAATGCAGAGTGCATTACAAAATGTTCAGTAAACTGCATAATCCGTGCTTCTATTTTAGAATTTAGGTGTTTACGTGTGGCAATGACAATGCCAGAATTTAATGTAACGTATCGAACGTTAATAACTATACTGGAAGTAACCTCGCATGTTGTATTTATAGATCGTACGTTATTGGATGTGTAATGAAAATTCTCTAGGATTTAACGTTGCAAACCGAGTACATACAATACACACGTAATCAAATGGAATTTTGTAAGGAGGTAAACAAATGACGCAAGTAATGACAACTTGTTACTTCGATACGTGACAACGACGCACACCGTATTATGATAGAAGGATCATACTTAACTTCAAACGATTGCCAATGTCCTGATGCATAACAAAAATTCCGTTAGAAGAATAAGTAAGTATGACAGAAAATCCATACAATTTTACAAACAAGAAAGGAAAAGAAATCATGAGTCAGTTTCAGAGTGCAGTTAAGACATAAATATATGGACCATTTTCATGAAGAGATATAAGTTCAATAATGAACGCCACAATGCCTTCAAACCACCACATCATCATTCACATTATGTCAAACTCACCCGAAACTAACTCTACCAAACGTGTTGATGAAAAACGCGGTAGGGTTGCTTGACCTGTTGAAGAAATTAGACAAAAAGAAGCAAAAACAAAAATTATGGGTACTTATGCAAGCCTCTAAGCCTCGCGGCACACACAAACCCCACTCTAGTAACGACACTTGGCAAAGTAAAATACACATTTTAAACACAAAATTATTTAATAACATTATTTAGGAAATGTGCATTTAGGTACTACTAATATTTGTCAGACGTAAATCGAGAAACTGATAAATCGAAACAACTATTACTATAAGCTATTATCAAGTTGATTTACTCGTTTTACGCATGACAAAAATTCTACAGTGCAGTGCACATCAACTCTATGGTAGCAGCGACATTCACTTGCAAGTCTCATTGCAACTATATACTCACAGGCAAAAACAAATACACTAGTATGCCATTGACCGAATGCCCCAATAATATATAAATTTTGACTAAACATAAACCAATAAATTAAATATAAATACCAATTTCAAATATAAAAAGTTGATTTTAAAATGTGGTCTCAGTGCCTTTATATTAATAACTAAACAAATACTTAGGTAAAACTGGAATATAAAACATGCTGTAATAAATTAGTTATTAAGGTTTTCAAGAAAATATGCATTTCGTACTTACTTGAGGAAATGTTCATTTTCTTCATTCATTTTATCTGCATCCTTAGCTTTGTATTTTATGAGTCTCTCAACTAACGATCGATTTTCATCCTACAACACAAGAATTGCACTGTAAAAACTATTGGCACAAAAACACGTAGATATATAAACAACACAAAATAATTAAGTACCCTCTTGAAAACACGCCGCATGTTTATCAATTTAAAATCAAACAGTTCCCGCGAGTCTTATTAAATAGCTAATTTATTAATGACTTGTTCAAAAGAAAACATGGAAATTATCTCTGAAATCAACTCCTGACACACTGCCACGAAATTTTCTATCTGACTGAATGTAAGTGATGTTACTTGAGACACAGCTATAAGCATTTCATACACAGCTGTTATCACGTGATCGTCGTAAAATATACAGCGGGCTACATTTTATGATATCCTAGTAATTCATTACATTAAGTGATATGTTGTTTGAGGCATAGCTTCGCATGGGAGCTTTACGAGGCCACCGCGCTATTTGTGTTAAGCCCAGTACCAAATCGGGATTAGATCACCCACTCGGTCGAGTTGATTTGATATATTGTGTAGTCAATGCGCTTTGACGGATATGAAGGCCCGCTATCTTGCGTGAATGGTAATTACCGGTTGTAGTTAAGGTACTAACAAGATTTCTTTATCTATTGCGATATCTAGCATAGCTTTTCCTAGAAAATATTGAAATTAAAGTATTTTAGTGTCATGAGTATTTTTAAAGATTTCTCAAAAATATTAAAGTTAACTTTTTGACATTGAAAAATGGTTTTGCTAAATAGAATTTTAGAAAAACACATGAGCATCGGCGAATTCTGTCAACGAGAGTAATTACACACTGTAGAAAGAGTATCTAAATATAGGTGCGAATGAATGGAATAAACTTGCAAAAAAAACTGTCAAAAAAAGGACCGAGGAATATGAAACACGCTGCATATTAATATAAAGACAAGCTAGAATCAGCTTGGAGCCTTGCCAAATTTTAAATGATGCTATAAAAATCTAAAGTTCCAGCGGAAAAAATTGTTCAATAACGACCACCAGTACTATGCCAAAAATATTTTTACTCAGTATAAACAAAAGCAAGACAGCTTCAAACGTAGTGGAACGTATCTTTTTTAACTGCCTTCAACAAGTAACAGACGATGCAAATATGAGCTAATGTTTAATTACTGAGATAAAATCGTTGATTCATTACTCAAAGTCGTGTTTAAAAGCTATTTTCAAATAAGTGTTTAGTGTGGAAAGTTCGGATGTGTGGTGAACAAGAAAATAATGTGGGTTGTGGCGTTTCTGAATGAATAACAATCTGTGATGTTCATAATTTATAGCGAGTAAGAATTTTTTTAATAAGTAGATAATTTAGCGTTGTCTGTGTAGTGTGTACTGTAAAGTCTAGCTTGTTTACGTTTGGAAAATTAATCAAAACATTTGTACTTTATTTCTAGACTAAACTAGATTAGAAGATTTTACTCATAATCATTTAGATATGGTTATATTTAAAAAATAGTTAGTTTTTTAGAAACCTTTTGCAAATCATTTTAAAAATGTTGTATCTTTTAAACTAAACTATACCTCTACTTAATTAGTAGAGAGTTAGAACATTTAAAATGTATTTATACAGTTTTATTATGCGTGTTAATAACAAAATAGGCGCAAGTGCGCAACAAGGGACGCAAATGTGTTCTTTCTACTAGAAATAATATAGCTAGTTTGTTTTAGATGTAGGATAATAATATTTGTAAATACTATTTTTACCTGTAAGTATTTGTTACACTTACTGTAAAAAACTCACATTTGTATTTTGACAATTGTATTGGTGTAAACAAATGTTGGTAAATCATAAATAAATAATATGCTAAGTTTTATGAAGAATACGGTATTTGTCCTCTCAGCGATTATCACAATTTTTACATCACTTTTATGATAAAGTTCACGTAACTAACACTATGCGCAATACTGTTTTAATATTAAATAAATATTTACTCTCATTTATATTAAAGTTTTTAAGTACTTAATATATTTTTATAATAGATATTTTATTTGTGTAGCAAGATTTCCAGAGTTATAACTATAAGTGTATCGGAATTCACCACAGATTAAATATAGCCGCGCTAAACAAATCAATATTTTATATATCGTTTTGTTACATGACATTGATTTACGAGCATCTACAGAATTTTTAATGCTTAAACATTAGTGATAATATCGGAAAACAAAGAACCCACTTCTGAGTGGGCTTTTGATATCAAAAGCCGTAAGTGCTTTTGGCAACAATAGAATTCTCATGTCCAGTTAAGTATTAAAATTAGGAAAAAAAAGTAGTAGTAGTGAGTAGAATTTTTTTTTCAATTTGTGGGTACCCCCACAGACTACACCACACTGGAACAGTAAGATGATATGTGGGACTTTAACCAATTAAAACAAAATGATGCCCTCGCTAAGCCCCTGTGGACAGGTTACCAAGGGCGCCCTAGCTTCATATTTATGAAGGTGACTCGCTGAAAACCAATGGAGTGGTACACACACAAAATTATAAAAATTTAAACTAAGCATAAAAACAAAGTAATGAACATTTTTAATAACTTTCTGGAAGTTTCAAATTCTAGTGATACTCTTCTTGAGCTGTCTACGCTAGGGAGGACTACCTCCTTGCTACTTAGTACTTAAACTTTCAAACACCAAGCGGTCACCGGTGACCGCAACCTATTGTTCTTTAATTGTGTCTATAAATACGGTACTCGACGAGTTAATACCTTCTAATTTTTTTTATACAAAATACCTGTGCTTTCCTCAATTTTTCCTCAATTGATGCAAATGCGATCTGTAAGGCTTGATGTTCATCTCTTAATACTTGATTTAGTCCTTGCAATTCAGACATATTTGTTTCATACATTTGAATTTCAGCCCGCAAAGACGCTATCACCGCTGTGTTTTCTGAAATTCTAAAGAAATAACAAAATTTTTATTTTTAATTTAGACAATACATGTGTTCATGAGTAATATTATGCACATAATAATTTAACAGAAGGTGACTAATTTGTTGTAAAGATATCCTCTATTTCGATAGTATTGTTCTTATTATATATAATATAATATTAATTTCATTTCATAAATATCCAAATTATTTTGTTCAGTTCTCGCAAGTGCGATCTATTGCCGAGCAAGGGTTCTCGCCTCAAGTTCGATTCCCGGATGGGCCAAAGTAGATACTAAGGGTTGTTTTCAGTTTTTTGGAAATTGTCCTAGTAGCATGAAGTCCGGAAACGTGCCTTATATGGCAAAAGTCTCATGCCCTATTATAAGAGACTAACAGATAATTGGTGAAAGGTGGTAGTTCAGAATAAATGAGTTGTTTCTTTTGTGAAATTCAATAACTAATTTACGATTTATTTAAATTACAAATATTAGTTTCAAACTGCACATTGGAACCGCAGTGAATATTTGTCCAAACTAAAAAAAAGTAAATAGAAAATCTTAGTTTTAGTCATTCATCTCATTTAGCGGTCTGTATTGTTTGACTTAAATATTATGTACACGTCATAGTACAAATACACATCACTCTTCTACAAATATACAAAGTCATTAGGCAAACTTGAATGATCCCGTTAAGCACACAATAAGTCCAGTGGCATTAGGTTGGACTTTATATGTTTCCGTAGACTTTATTATCTGTTTACTTTGTGTTATTTTATAAGGTACGTGACATCTAATTACTGACAATCTCATCTGTCAATCTTATACTTTTAAATGTTCTATTAAAAAAATGTGTGATAATATGAGAAATATTTAAGAGTTATAAAATAGTATATTGGGCAACACTTTGTTCCATAGTCTCTGTCTACCGCCATGGGAGACAGGCATGAAGTTATATATGTATGTATGTACTTTTGTCATTTATCAGATTGAGACACATTTTTAAACAATATCTCACTTCAGGATTTACCCTTGTATCATAGATATTATGTTTAACAACACACCCCACCTCCTCTGTACAATCCTCTATACAAATTATAACTGGCCAGAATTGAGAGCATATCTTGTCCCACTCTAGCTGAGTGAAGCAACCATAATGTTTGACTAATTATTTAGAAGTTTAAGAAATAGCCCAGTACTTACATGATATCTTTAGCTTGAAGTTGTTTCTCTAAATCATGTACTTTTTCATTCAGACTCATAATCTGCTGTGCATTCTCCCCTCTTCTCCTATGCATAGAAGTAAGTTCTTCTTGCTGTGCTAAGATTTTCTGCTCCAGGGCCTGTATCCTTTCATTGCTGGCATTTCCTGTAATTGTATTATTTCATTCATTAGCAAAATCCTAAATATGTCAAATATTTAAATAGTAATGGTTGTTTATTACTGAAGTGTTGAAGAAATGTAATATTTACAAAGAAATCATTCAATTTGTTTGGTTTTACTTTACTAATGTGTGCAGTAGGTAATTAAGAAAAGACAAAGAGTTTAGACTTTGGTACTTTTTCACATAGAAGTTTCAAGAAGACTTTATGGTGCTTTATTATGTTGGTATTGAAGCATATAATTATGGTAAGCCTTCGAATAAGCAGCAAATAAAACATTGACAACCAAAATTAATTATTCTTGCATTTGTGTGATATGTATTATTCTAATGAATACATAGATATTCTTACAATCTTACATACAGAACTTAATAAATGTTAATGAGAAACTCAATTAAAGTAATTAACTTACCAGTTCCACCAACACTTTCAGCTCCCGTAAACCGTATTCTTTCATTCAGCAATGTTAACTGTAGATTCTCATTCTTTAATGTGTTTACATTGTCAAACAGTCGGCTTTCTGAAATTATTAATTAATACCATTAAATATTTTTCAAGTCCTCAATCAATTTTATGGTTTATGGTCTTATATTAAAAGCGATTAGTATAGGGTATTGCCATAAAAACGTTAATATTTAACATGCAAACTGGACCAGCTTAAAATAGGTAAAATAGACATTATATTAATAGTTTTCACTTTCTAAACAAGCCTTACTATAGTTTTACTTTCTAAACATGCCTTATAATCCCCAATGGGACAGTTAGCAATGCATGTAACAATTTCACCAGTTATGGTATGTTGCCAGTTCATGGAATGCAAAGGTATTGTGTCATTCAACATCTATTGATGGAAATCTTATATTTTAAAAACGTTTGTTATAAACTTATATTACTTTTCACAGTTTTGGAAGTAAAGTAAGATTTTGTTTTGGTCTCGAAAATGCACTTAATTAGTGAAAATTGTAGTTTCTACTGTGTTGTTGTCTTCATGTGGTGGTACATCATAATTTAAATATTTAAATGGTTTAACTTGATTATTTCAGCATTTACCTACATATTTAAGTTTGTGTAATCATTAATTCTTTTTGAATTATTAGTTAATATGATAAGATTATATTCTAACTAGAGTGTAAACTTATCAGACACAATCTAAGTTCAGTCATGTATAAGAAAATGATTTAATTGACTTTCATAGAACATTAAAACTTGTTGATTAGAAATGTAGGTAGGTCAGTCATTCAACTTGAGTCATTATATGAATGCATTACACATTTACATACATTGTGTTAGAGTTTGTTTAGACATAAATATTCAGAGGCTATTGTTATCCTTAATCACAACGTTTTATCACTGATATGTGGTGATAAGCCAACACTGGTAACATCACCGTGTGAGCAAATACTTCCATAAATAGACAAGGTTTTTGAACAGTTTTATTTCTTTACGTAGATATTTTTTATATATCAATTAATCTTCATTCCATTCTGCTTATATGAGCAATGACAGAGGTTATAAACAAAGTGACTTCAAAACAAATTAATGGTCATGATAACAAATGAAATGAACACAAACTATCTGTTACGAACAATGGATTATTAGTCTAGTGATAAATCTTGTCTATTTGTTAAATAATACTACAGTGTCAACACAAAGACGTCCATAGGTTATAAGTTACTTACGAAAGGCTATAATGTCTTGAAATGCCGCTGTTTCATATTTATTTCTAGCCTGTAATTGGCTGATAATATTCCTCCTCCATTCCCCAGCTTCCATTTTCACCGTGCTATTAATTAACTGATACAAATTAATTAATAAATCAATTCAGGATCAAAACAAACAGATGTCATAATGTTCATCGACGATGTTTTAGGTATAACAAAGACACTCCGTGATGTTAAAACTGGAAATTTTGTTCTGCGCATTTAATGAACTTATTTATGCTCTAATTACGACGAAACAAGCAGAAATATTCAAAGATTTTTATGTATTCCCGAACAATTTCAATGACAATACGTTAAATCACACTCTTGACATTGACATGACAGAAACTGAAGTGACAGAAAGCAGAAAACAAACTGAAGTGAAGTTAGCTACAGTTGTGACAAAGACAATGCGTTGATAGGGATGTACCTATAGACATCGACTAAAATAATAAATCGGGTGTGATAATGTGTATAAATTATTTCCCGGGAATCGAATAGATAATTAATATTATATTGAATGTACTTACGAGTTGTGTATATCGTTTTTTAAATGTATTGTACCTAGAAAATATGCATTAAGTACATACATATTTCTTAAGCAAGAGTCAGAAGGCCTTTAGAAATATAATGTTTAATGAAGTAGTAGTTACGTAATATTGCTTGCCTGCATTCACAAAAGAAAACTGCGTTTACAACTTTTGGCCGCCGCTGTTAATCGCGAAATAGTGACACTTTTTTTTTTTTTTTAAGGGGGGAAAATCATCGAATGACTGCCCCCGCCTGGGTGAGGCGGGAGGGAGTGTCAGACTCTTACTGACTAAAAACCACCCCGTTCCTTCTCCTGCACGTCGAGCCGGAGCCCCGGTTACCCGTTAGGTTCTCCGCGACTCCGAATCGGCATCGGCCCTATTGGGCCCCATCTGTGGTGGTCTGATGGCTCTTTGAGGCGCGCGCGGAACGCGACGCGCCGTACGCTCGGGTCTGTTTCTGGTCGGACGGGGAGCCACCCATGCTCGCCGTCCGCAGGCCCGCGCTTACGGTGGCCGGAGATCGTCCCGCGATCCCCGACGCCCGGTGTGTCCTTCGCGATGGCTGGGTTGCGAGGAGGCAGCGCTTCGCTGCCTCACGCGTCCCGCCTCAAATAGTGACACTAGGAACTTATCGTGTAGTTAAATAGTGTAAGTACCTACCTACTTCCTACCTACCAGGGTAAATGGCCGTAAACGTACTCATAGTATCTTTCTTTAAAAATAAAAAGTATATAGTTACCAAGTGGCACTATTTCGAATTTACAGTAATTTAGAAAATAGAGAGCCTATCTAAATATACATATAGGTGCCTATTGTACTGATACAGCATTCCAATATTACGTAGACATGAACGAATTTAAAATGATGTGCCGATGTGCGTCAGAATAGTTTTATTGTTATGAATATCGAGAGAATATAGAGTTATAAAACAGGATTCAATGTTCCGGATAGTGCATCGATTATTGTGATGGGCAGCGTTGATAGTTGCCTATATAAATGACAAATAAACATTTTTATGGTCACGTCCGCTAAGTCACAACTAAATATATATCGCGTTATATATATACCTACATAATAAGTGCCTACCTAATTAACCGCTAGTTACTTAACAAGATAAATAAGTAGTAGGTGGGTGATTGGCTAACCATACAAGTTAAAGGCAATACCTTTAAAATAAGAGAATAGCTTGCACCTAGGAAAATACCCTAGATTCCTAGAACAGTTTGTATCCAACATAGACCATAAACTACTTACCTACGTCAAAAATTGCCTAGGCACCTTCCTACATAATTATCTTAAATCTCTTGAAATACATATATGAAGAAACCTTACGTATTTCGTAAAGAATTCCGAATCTGTATAATAATATGTTTTGCAAACTTACAAAAAAAATTATAGATATACTGTTTATATATAATGAACCAGATAACTACAACAATCATACCTACTTAGTTAACTAATACAATACACAGACAGACTACTCACCTACCTTGTAATCGTTATCATCCTTCGTCAAGGACCTCATTCATCTGGACTTCGACTGTTACTATTCAATTAAGGATTGGAAATTCAATTATAAGTTTTGAGAGTCAGAGCTGAGAGCTCAAGGTATGCGCTCAGGCGTCTAAATTAATTCGTACTTTGAGATATGATTATCTGTTTACCGTTAAGACTATTGGGATTAAGAAGTACCCACGGAGTTGTGTTGATCTTGATTAACGGGATAAAAGAAAAAGTTTAATCCGATTGGAAATAGGTATTGGAACCTTGGTCTAGTCAACCGTAGACTGGTAAGTAAAGTGGTATTGTCGAACTACATAACAAAGCGATTATACTTTCACCGATGCTTTATAGTTCCTAATTTAGATTTTATTTTTGTAACTAGATACATTAGGGTCGTTTCATAAATAATTTACTATGTTTTAAGGTTTTAACCCTTTGAGTACCGTCATTATAGACACAATTAAAGAACAATAGGTTGCGGTCACCGGGGTCCTCGCGGTGTTTGACAGTTTAAGGATTACTAGAGACAGATGTTAATCCTATGAATGTAGGTGCTATTGTTACATAATCCATTGATGGTTTAATGTAATTAAAATCTAAGTTTAGATTTCTATTTTAGGTAATTTTAATCGATGTTATTAGAATTACAATACATTGCGTTAGTTTGTGTATCAACTTTATGTTTTACCATAAAAAATAATATTACTCTTTTATTTTGTTTTATTGATTGGTATTATGAAAAAACAAACACCTACTTATTTGACTGCACGGTTGGCGCGGTGTCTGGGAAACCAGCTGCAGCGCAACGTGTAGCGGGTTCGATTCCTGCACGGAGCAACTCTTTGTGTGATCCACAAATTGTTGTTTCGGGTCTGGGTGTCATGTGTATGTGAACTTGTATGTTTGTAAATGCACCCACGACACAGGAGAGAATGTGTGTAGGGTAACGGTTTTTAGAAAAAAAAGGAAGTTGATTAGTATAGACATACGTCTAGGTGGTGAACATAATGAAACCATCCGAAGGACAGTCTCACTCTTATACAGTAAGGTACCTTAGTAATATTTTCCTATCAGTTTTTTCCGCAGACTAACTTTGATAGAGCAACTTTTGCTGAAGAAGATTGCAATTTTACCTAAGTTAGAATTTCAACTCCCTAATGTGCTGCGACCGTTTTACACGCTGGGATTACGAGCTGACGACTTGGTCGACCGGCGTGGGTTGCATCACGTACACATACTGAAAATTGGGTTGTATTTGTGTAGGTAAGTATCTATCCATGTAGCACCTGAATACTGAAGACCTATTTTAAGTTGTACTTAAATATCGTTTCATCTATGTCATTCTACAAAGAAATTGTAGTGACAGAACTATGCTTGAGCGCGACTTAAAATTGAGTAGCGTTTGAGTATTTCGACATCACTTCCTAATATATTCCTTCAGTTTTAGGAGAAACTAGAATGAATGTGGGTAATATCAAATATGGTAAAGACTTGCCGTTGCCTTGTTGTGTGTGACACCTACCCGCTTATTATTTACTAATTTTAAATAATGTTTTCTTTGTTCCTTGTTAATCGTACTGGGATTTTCGTCGCGTATAAGATACTCATGGTAAGTATTATACCTAATTGTGAATTGTCAGTTGCCGTGTCTCTATAACTATGTCTGGGCTTGTGCGCTATGAGTGCTGCGACATTCCGCTATTGTGTAGTGTGTAGATTATTATTTCTTCTGTGGATTTGCCTCTATGTTCTGCTCGTGTTCGGATGGACATTCCTTCCTTCGTTACTACTCACCTAGATTCTTAGAATACTATCGCTAATCTAATTATGGTCTGCGCTCTCTTTTAGTGCACGTGGGTTAAAATTCATTAAGTCTACGTCTACGCATCTATTCACAAAATTGATATCAATGTCTATCTCGGTTTGGTACGTTGAATTTAGGTACCAATAGAGCTATTGTGTGTTGAACTTGAACTGATCAATATTGATGTCTACCATGAATGTTCATTCAATCCCTCGCAGTCACAGGGACATTGTGGGTCTATTGTATATTACGTCATACCTCTACTAATATTATAAATGCGAAAGTTTGTATGTTTGTTTGTTTTTTTGTTTGTTAACCCTTCTCGTCAAAACAGCTGAAGGGATTAAGATGAAATTTGGAACAGTGGTAGACTATCGCCTGGAGTTACTCATTGGCTACTCTGGAATTACCCACGGGAAAGCGGGCAAAGCTGCTGGTAAAAGTTTTCTATGTTTCATGAACACCACACAATTAAACTTAGGTGTAGGTACCTACTATAATTATTAGACATGTTTGGACATCTGAGCCACAAAACTCTACAAGCGCACGTCCTTAAAACAATTGAGTGGTTTAGTTTAGCCAAGTGTCTCGTTAGAGTTGTCTTACAGAAAGACTAATGCATTTAGGATGGTCCCTGGAACGATGTTATCGCATTTTCGCGGGATATATGTGCTATAAAGGCCATAACAAGTTTCAGTTGGTAGGTGCCTGCGTCTTCTCCTATGACGTCAAACCGCTGCCTGTTTAAACATGGCTGTGAGTTATGAGATTTATTTAGTGGTCTCTCTCTTAGGTATATGGTTAATGGGATACAGATTTAAAATAGTCTTTGGAGGCATATCTGCAGTTAATCTACCTGCACATTCATCAACGCTTTCATCTGTAAAAAGAATTAATTTTAGACTAACTGCTTACCTATGTCAGAATTACCTAATCATGATAATTTTGGATCTATGAATTCTGAAAGTTCTTTTTTGCTATAAAACAAAATGACAAAACTTTTTGAAACTATTTAGAATCTAATATCTACCTACCACTTAAATACACCTACACAAGTAAGTACATATTTATTGGCAAAATAAATCGAGTATAAAGTTATAGTATCGCCACCCAGCCGTTGTGGAGCGCAATATATTCGGCTTAATAGTGTAATTTTGCAGGCTCTTGCAATATCTTGCGGTGAACTCGACCAACCCCTGTCGACCCCTGACAGACACCAGATTGCATGCAACATTCTGTCGTTTGCAGACGAGGATTATAGCAACATCACACAGCCAATTTGTTTAAGCGTAAAGTTCGTAGTTAAAGCAAAAAAATCCATAACTCGTTGCTAAGTAAGATAGGTTTATTTTTCGTTTAAATTACGAATAAATAATCAAATATGAGAAATAAATAATCGTATACGTCTTTCAAAGTAGACTATTTACTCGCGTACTGAATATTTAACATAGACAAACATAATTGGCAATGTCTTATGTCGTACCTTAAAATATAAAGTGAGGTAGTGACGTCGGATCAGAGCAATAAAAGGTCGCGAGTTTCAATCCATACATTATTTATAGGGGGTTCTATCGACAACACCTTCTAAAATCAATATAGGAAAAATCGCGCTATGTGATTCTAGAGCCTAATCAAATAAACCGAGTGAAGTTGAAATTGGAAGAAGTACGACTCCTGCTATTGAATTATTCATTAATTTCAGATACCTTTAATGTAGTTAAAGTGGACCCAGTGATCAATGTGATTTCGATTCTCAATTAAGTTTATTTAAAATCAATGACAGTTTTTTGATTACTCCAAAATTAACAGTTTCATTTGACTCCAATATTTTGAATTGTAAATGTCTATCTATTACTTGATTGTCAGTGCCTATAAGATAAATAAATCGTTGCAACATGCACAATGCACATTGTAACTCAAGTGCGGTTGATTTGATGCGGTGACCTGGCATCACTATCGAGCCACATCTCTCCACACCGGCGAGTGCTAGTGACTACCACCTATATTGTGGTTTAGTACATTAAAACATGAAATCAAATAATTTTTTGTTCAAACAATATTCTTAGTGAGAGTGTAATACACAAAAATTCAACTTTGGTCAGTAAAGAAGACTTGAGAGAAGACTTCAAAGAGAATTTTACGATAATTAAAGATTAAATGAGTAAACTAGAACTTTATTTATTTATGGCTTCTAAAGCACTTGTCCACCCATTACTATTAGCATTTCTGTCAATGTGTCTTCTGTAGCGACGATGTTCATCTGCAAATAAATGTTACAAGAAGGTAGACACATTGCACACATTAGTAAAAAATAACAACTATAACTTATTTTGTATATTACTAGCTACTTCCGCGCGGTTTCACACGCTCTGCTCGGCTCCTATAGGTGATAGCGTAACGTTTTATAGCCTATAGCCTTCCTTGATAAATGCGCTATCTACCACAAATAGAATTATTCACATCAGACTTCTAGTTCCGAAGATTAGCGCGTTAAAACAAACAAACAAAAAACAAACTCTTCAGCTTTATAATATTAGTATAGATTGTAGATGTATGACTGTGATACACGGCCTCACAGAAAACCGACGTGGAACAACGCTTGCGTTGTGTTTCGTCGTGTCAAAGGTCGGTAACGCACTTGTAACGCCTCTGGTATTTCAGGTGCCCATGGGCGGCGCCGATTACTTACCAGCAGGTGATCCGTCTCCTCGTTTACCGGCTTATTAATAAAAAAGAAGATATTCGTAATAGACCTATTTTTTGTAAGGATGGAATGTGATCAAATGTCTTCTTCAACTTCTTCAGTCCTGGGTGATAGCATACGGAGTGTCAGACTCCTGCTCTACGCCGTGGCCTCGAGGCGGGAGGGAGTGTCAGGCTCTTAATGACTAAAAACTACCCCGTTCCTTCCCCTGCACGTCGAGCCGGATCCCCGGTAACCCGTTAGGTTCTCTGCGACTCCGAATCGGCAACGGCCCTGTTGGGCCCCATCCGTGGTGGTCTGATGGCTCTTTGAGGCGCGCATGGAACGCGACGCGCCGTACGCTCGGGTCTGTTCTGGTCGGACAGGCAGCCACCCATGCTCGCCGTACGCCGACCCGCGACGAGATCGTCCCGCCATCCCCGACGCCCGGTGTGTCCGCGATGGCTGGGTTGCGAGGAGGCAGCGCTTCGATGCCTCAGGCGTCCCGCTCCTCCTTAGCTAGCATAACTGCTTCGCAAAAGGAGGAGATGGCATCCCAGTCCCCTTCGCTCCGTATCATGACCTGCACTAGGCCCGGACGCGAGAGGTCGCCATCGCCGATCACTTCCCTGAGGGCACGGCGGTGCACAGCCCACGCAGGGACACGGTGGAACACACTGTAGCGACAGTGTGTTCCACCGTGTCCTCAGGGCGGTCCTCGCAATAAATACCTGCCTACGTCATCTTTCTCTATACCAAGCAAGGTACCATCGATAAGAAGTTAAACGTTTTTATTCAAATATGGGTAACTTACCGAATGGTGCCGTTTAGTTTAAGTGGACGAAGGATATGGTAAAAAGAAACTACAACTACAACAGTGTCGGAGATATGGAGTGCAAAGATTTAAGTGAAGATGCACAAGAACTATTAAAGCAAATATATACATGCAAACTAAAAAGAAAAGTTATCATCAACGGAGTCCTTGTCCTACACATGACTATGGTTTGCTGATATTTCTAACAATCGAAGTTCTTTAGATAAATAAAAATAATTATGGTCCGGCACTTCAAAACAACAGGAGAGACATCAGGGGCAGGCCCAACGGCTTGGTGTCTTTACCGAAGTATGAGGATGAGACACCTTCGAATGTTCTAACTCTGATTTAGGATTACCAACGCTCGGAAACCAATTACATTCCAGCTATTACATGACATTTTCCACTTAAAAATTAATTTTAAATCTTTAGTAAAGAGTTAAAGTAGAAAGAAAATACTAAAAAAAATTACCCTTGAGTTGAATGACAAAATAATAATTTACCTACTAACCATCAGAATTGGCATCTGAATCAGAATTCTTTTGATATTTTCCATGTAGCTTTGGATGATCTGTAAGTGAAATATTAGATGCAAGTGAGTAGGCTAAGTTATATGTATTATTAAATAGCTATTATTACTAGACTAGCGCAATATATATTAAGAGCGTGAAGATGTGTGCCAGTGACACGAAACTAAACGAACCTTCTTCTGGTTCAAAATCCACCGCTCTCAGACCTCTCGTACTTCTTTGGTTATCTTCTTGGGAAACTGCGAAAACGTAATAATTTTTAACAGTTTTTTAAAGGTGTATAATCTAAAGATTGCCACAAATAGTTGTTCAGTTGATACTGCAAAATTCCATGACAAAGATATAGATAAGAATTGAAATTTTGAAACTTGTGAGCAAGATAAAAATTTCTAATTAATGAAACATGTCTGGTCTATCTGACATAATCCAATTAATTAGAGCTGTAATATATAAAAAATACTTTTCTCGTCGTCATCGTCATCACTGTCGTTGCTAGATTTGGCCGGTTTTGCGTTCTCTTTGCTCGATTCTTCCTTTTTCGGATGATCTCTGTCTCGTTCATGCTCTTGATCCTGGCTTTCGCTTGATTCTCGTGGATTTGTCTTTTTTTTACTAGCACTGTCACTACTGCTATCTTCATCTACGGCTCTTGGATTAAAATCAGCAGAATCTAAAATAAGAAAACTAGTGTGATCAATAAATATATGTTTTAATTACCTACCTGGTTCATTCATGACAACTATGGTAAAGGTATACCTTTGAAATTTCGAAGGTGAATTAATGGATCTCCATTGCTCCCTCGTGTTAAGTCAAACCCAATTTTTACATTAACTAAAAGTATATGTTGAAGTTGTATGAGAGTCTGAATATAAGGAAACAATGTTATTAAATTCCTAGATAGGTAATCGAGTTTACTTACGCGTTTTGGGACCTGTAGATTCAGCAAGTGCAATTATTGTTGAAACCAATACCTGCAAGTTAAAACTGAGTATGAGTTCAGGAGATGATAACAAATCAGTATACAATATCTAGATACTAATGAGCATGATGACAGGGTATGAAAATTAAAAATCTAATTAGTCCATCAGCTAGGTAATGAAAAAAATATTAGTAACGTATTTTTTATTTTGTCGTAAGAATAAACGAAACGATCAACGTTTAAGAGCGGAAGGTAGCTACGTCATTTTAGAGTATAAATCGTACTTAAAAGTGACGTCATGCAATATTTCAAATCAATATATCTATCTTAGAAACTATTCGTTTCCGTAAGAAAATAAAAATTACGTGTCTAATGTTTTTTAAAATGATCTACCAGACGAACATTAACCCGTCGAGCGTCCGCATTCCATATGATCCAACGGGTGCACCCGTGACATTTAGAGAAAGAAAGAAAATGCATTTATTTGGCCATTGGCACACGAAAACAAGGATCATTACAATAGAAATAAAAATACAGTCAAAATAAAAACAAAACATTAATAATAGATTTTATAAAAGAGAAAGCAGCATGGAGCATTTTTTCCTATGATCCACCGGGTGCTCATAAGGACGCTCGAGGGGTTAAAATAAAAATTAGTCATCTACCCTATTATATACAGTTATATATATATATATACAGTTATTTACCGTTACAAAAAGCCATGTCTTCGGACTGTTTTCGCCTGGCAGCAACATCACGAAGTTTTAAAAGATTTTATTCCATGAATTCAGATTAATAAAACAATGCGGTGCGATACGCATTGATTTCAATTTTCTCAGTAACATAAACATTACATTTTTATTACTCTGAAATTTTAACAATGTGTTTTATTGAATAAGAAAAATATTTAATTGCTTGAATTTTTTATAAATCAAACCGTCTTACATTAAACATTAGGAAAGTCTAGTAAGTCATTGGATATTTAAATTAGTTTTAATGGAATTATTTTATTTTGGTTACAATTCATTTTTGTCTAGTTAAATTGCACTCAGACAATTAATAGAAACTGGAGGTCAGATCTCCGGTTAGGTAGTAGTCATTGCGATACATACCTACTTCTAAAAACAAATTTAAATAAATGTAATCGACATTCCAACTAAAACTACATTTTATAAACGATGGAAAATAAAATTTAAATTACTCTCAAATAATAAAATATATTATATGATTTCAGACGTTTTTAACAATGGTGTGGTTTAGTCAATTGCACGGTTGGCGCGGTGGCCGGGCAACTGGCTGCCGCGCAACGTGTCGCGGTTTCGATTCCCGCACGGAACAACTCTTTGTGTGATCCACAGATTGTTGTTCCGGATCTGAGTGTCATGTGTATGTCAACTTGTATGTTTGTAAATGCACCCACGATACAGAAGGAAATCCTAGTGTGGGGCAACGTTTAAAAAAAAAATATGAAAAAAATTGATACCTAATTATGAATCAATCCTACTGAGTCGTTTTGTGAGTCTTTACGGTTGTCGCGGTGCGTGGCGAAACATTTGGTAACTTAGCAACATGTTGGGTTTTCATTACGACATTCGCAACGGAAGTATGAATATTGCTAAGACATTGACTGAGCGTAAAACAATATTTATTTATTACTAGCTGTTGCCCGCGACTTCATTCGCGTGGAATTGTGATTCACAGCTCCTCCCCCGTAGGTGATAGCGTGATAATATGTAGCCTATATATTGACCCGACCTGTTAGTAATATTCATGCAAAATTTAAAGTAAATTCATGCAGTACTTTTGGAGATCACCCCGGACATACACACAGACAAAATTTTTAAAAACCCTATTTTTGGCTTCGGTATCGATTGTAGATCACGCCTCAAGTATTCTTCAATGCACAGTTTTTACTTTTCTATGATTTTATTATATATTTCTACGATTTTATTATATATTACATAACTTTTTTATTTATGAACCGATTGACGTGAAACAAACACTAAAGCATAACTGAAACATACCACAATATATTCGTGAAAACTGCATCCAACTCGGATCAGCCGTTTCTGAAATTAGCGTGAACAGACAAACAGACAAAAAAAGTTAATTACATTTTTGGGTTCGACATCGACATAACAATAACCCCTGCTATTTTTTTTATTTTTATTTCCAATGTACAGGCAGCACTTTTCTACAATTTTATTATATGTAATAGATTATTATAATAGGATCTCCTAGTTATAACAAAGACAGCTTCGCTTGAAACTTGAAACTCGACATGTGCATAAAATATATTATGTTACATAAGTTTCATTTTTAATTTTAATGCAATACAAATGAACAAAGCCAGGTATTCTTTCCTGAACAGTCACAGCAGCTTCTGTTAAATCACATCCATTCATAATGTAATATGAGCAGAGATAATGTGTGCCCCGGGCGAGACAAATTTGCCAACTTTTTCTGTTGAACAATCTCTTTATATGAAATGGTTAGCGCCGAGAATTTCCTCGCAAAGTATTATTAGTAAAGTTGAATATTAACGTTTGTAATTCATGTTTTTAAATGTTTATTCAGGGATAGTAGCATAGTATAAAGAACAAAGTAGGTTATCTTCATACAAATGCTCCGCGCGCGGCTTATATGTGTGCGCCATAGTATCTATGCGTCGACGCACGCACACTATAACAAAATCTCGACCCGTTTCTCAGTGCGCCAGGCAGGGCTGACACTGTACGAGGATTGCGCGCGCTTCACGGCTTTTCGGTACTGTTCAATGAAATAAAAAATGTCTGATAATCGTAGAAGAACGTATTGCTGTGTGTTTGGGTGTCTTAATAATTAATCGATTCCAGAACTGTCTCTGTTCAGATTAGGTACCTATTGAACAGGAAAGGTAAGCTAGTCACTTTTTCTAGCATAATATAATTTGTAGGTACTTGATGATGAGATACCTACTTACTTATTCTTACTCTTATCATTCTTCATAGTTCCTACTCAACCAGAAATGTAATTACCTACTATACTTAAATATTATAAGAAAATGTGGTATTGTATTGTTTATTTCACAGTTTATCTGATTTGTTAAGAGCGTAGCCGAGTCGCAATTTTCCATATAAATGTATTCCCAAATTTACTTTCTGAATACTATGTATAGAGCTAAAGTTTATTTTAAGAAGTTAATAATCTTTTTATAAGCTTTTAATTTTTACTAAATTTATAAATTGATAAAATATTCAATCATAATATGCTTTTCATTTCATAAATTTAGATCAAGTGCTGCTTGTTCGAAAATATTAACTTAAAGTAAAAGTGACAACCCTGGGGATCAACGCAAGAGTAGGCTAATAACTCGGCGGGCGGCCTTAGATAACCTACTGTGTTCTTTCTACTATGATAGTAGTTCTGTTTGCCTTAGGTACCTTTCTGTCGCTGTTTGGTATTGGTGTGCTCGTACGACTGCGGTATAAACTAGTGGCTAACAAGAGAAAAGTCGTATGGAAATTAATGTTTTTGTCGACTAATTACTTTTTGTTTTTATGAATTTTACTAGGTTGGTAATACCGTTGGATTGTCAAGAATGTGTCCGTTCTAACATAGGTACCTACCTATGCAGTGACACGGCAAATAATATTTTCACTTGCACTGTAATGATTTCCAAATGAGCATTCAGTCTTCAAATTCGTTACTAGTCTGGTTACTACGGTACCTACTTTGCTCACCATTAAGTCACATCACTATCTTTATTAACTTTAAAGAAGACTTGGATTTGACTCTTGACGATAATGTAATAAGGGTGCTTTTCTCTTAATGTTTTCTTGGAGACACAGGAGCTCGTTACCAGAAGCGGTTCTCCGTAAATAGGAAGATTGCAGTTACGCTGCAGTTGCGATTTTCTCGCGCGAATGACCAAAATATCAATTTGCCTTGAATAACATAAGATACGTTAATGGCTGCTTTGTAAAGAATAAGGTATCGACGTAAACCGATAAGGATTCGTACAAAATAAACAAGAATCAATAACTTTACTGTTAAGAGTCTTTCAATAGACCCCACTTGAGTTTGCCGAATCAAAAATAAATAGGGTCTAATCATGTCAATGTTTTATAAATAAATAGGTACAATAATGTGCGTGACTGACCGCAGTTTGCTTGAAAATTGTCTCAGCAATTCGGATTTGTTAGAAATCCTCGCAAAAACCGACAGCTTAAAATTTACATGAAAAGTACGTGGCTTAACGTTGTGGCGACGAGGACGTGTTTTTACCTTGGGCTTTAACTGCTCACTCTTTATTCGAAATTGGCTTCGAGGCTTATTGGATAAAGAGATTATAAAGTGTTGCTTCGAGGGGTTAAGATCAAATCTTACCAAATATTTATAAACCAGTTAAAGGGGTCGTGTGGGCGACAACCAATCTGAGGATACCAAAAATATTATTGCTACCAGTTACACATACGTGTAGGTATCCGTCTATAATTATAGCGTACATACACTGACCCTCAGTAAATAATAAGATCCAGCATTAGGTACCATAGTACACACATACTTCAGATGAGTACTTAAAACGGATAAACCCCCAATTTTGTGACAATAAAACAAAATGAATAGGTTCATCTATCATTCTCTATAACATTTTTCTGCTTTTTAGTTTTAGTGTGAACTTATTCATTTAAATGTCACTTTAATGTGTCTACCTGAATATATGAAGTTGAAGAAAACAGTTTTGAGTTTAGGTACAAAGTATACGAGACAAATGGAAGGTATTTTAGTTTGTTGGCGCTGTCTGCGAGATTGCGTGACGTTCTCCCGAATGAAACTATCGCATGACTTCCATAGCTCATAAACTTTGCGTTTATGAATGTCTTGGAAAAACTTTTTGTTCGGCAAAACTTTTGTTATGATGGCAGTATAAACCTGTGTCAAACATACATGTATGTGCCTATAGCCACCTATTTACAGGTTATAAATGGGAATTTTGGCACCAATGAAGATACGCCATAGACATATAGGTACTTTGTTACATGTCGAACTCTTTTATTGCTGTGCTATATAATACCTACATACTTAAAATATTTTGTATGTAAAGATCTTAAATTCACTCTGTAAAGCGTTTTTTCCTTTTTATGTGAAGAATCATAGTGAGTATCTTGAGGAAACTACATAAATTGGAAATAATCACCCATTAACAGAAGAAACATATCGATAAAGCGAAGCTTAACTTTTTTTTTATATAATAGTTCAACGTTTGACTTCCATCTCGCCTGGTGGTAAACGATGATGTGGCCGACGATGGAGCACTTAATAGGAGTTGGTCCATTGATACACTTGTATAAATATATCAGTCTCACCATAGGAAAAGGAAAGCTCAAAAGTGTAATCTGAAGAATAAAGTAACCTAATTAAAATAGATTATAACCATATTTACCATGAATACTATACTTACGACGTGAAAACTTACGAAGTCCAGAATTCATCAGTAATCACAAAAAGAACTAGCATTGTTCATATGAAACCATTAGTCTGCTTTATTCTAATCGCATTATGATGAGGCAAGTTTTAGCTAGAAAATTGCCCAAAAAATACATTGGGCGTCCAAAACAATAATGCAGGCGAAGTTGCCTTTAAGGTGGAACATTTATTAACATTTCTAGGTAGCGTGTTGTAATGTTTGTAGATTTTGTAGTTTTATCGCTATATTTTTATTTCCGTTAGTCCAAATTGTGCTTTTGTGGAATTGAATAAAAATAAGTATTCGCAGTGGCAACTTCGTTCGTGCTTTGATTTGTATGCTTCATATCATTAAAGTTTACAATAAATCTAGCCTGTAATATACACTTCGATAACTTCAGATGCTTCTTAAAGTTATCAATAAACTGATAGTTAACGTTGTCTTCTTTTGCAAAAGCACCAAAAAATAATAGAAATCCCATGTAAAATCTTAGAAAAAAGCTACTTCTCTTTACTTTAAGGGGACACCCGGATTTGAACCGGGGACCTATCGATCTGCAGTCGATTGCTCTGCCACTGAGCTATATCCCCGATGAAAAGTCTATCGAAAAAGTGGTTTCAAAGCTGTCTAGACTAGATTAAGAAATTGAAGTTACCTCAACCAACTACATCTTTATTTAGGTTTGTATAAATGTAGGTACTTAGATCATATAAAATACGATAGATACGATTTCCTTAGGAATGTCATTCATCAATTATGGTATTTTATATTTACTTCTAATATATTTTATTAATTGTTAATATATAAATAAAATGTCTGGCGCGTATTGCGAGACTGTGATTACGGGAAATGAGGTTTCAGGTTCGATGTCTAGGTAAATAGATGTTTGTGGTTCTATGTAATCTCAGTCAGATGTCAGTCTCTCCCAATCTTCGTTAGCAAACTCCGAGACATAAACTCCAAACGTAACAGGTCTATTCCTTTTTGGAAAAACAGTCATGATCAATAGATCATGACTGTTTTTCATAATAAAGCAGCAAGTCTTTACATAGGTACATACCTTAAATAAAAAAGGCAGCTTGCCTTTTTAGGCTCTCCTACTTATAAGATAAGGCTCATAACAGTCATAACACTTCATTTGCAAATGTACTGCCAAGATTAATGAAGTAGGCAGTAGATATTTCACACTCACTTTACGAGTTTCCATATCAAACATTTCACTTAGACTTTTCACGAGCGTGGTTCTGCATAAGTGCATTGCAGTACCTACATAACAAAGTTTATTAACCGTTAATTGTTCGTACGTAGAATGTAGGACGCACTGCATGCTAATAGGGCATAATAGTCGCGCGTACTGAAATATCTGCAACGTCACTTTATAACTGTGTTCCAGCTTAAGGCTTTCAAATACAATTACTTTGTGGAGTATAGAATTACCTACTTACTTACGTAGTTTAGGACAAGATTATCAAATGACGCCAATTTATTATATCCCCAAAAAGTTAGGCACAGTAATAATTACATGTATAGGTATATTATTTTATATGTTTTATCGATTTCGAAATTATCTGAAATTCTTTTTTTTAGCTCGTAGCCTCGTAGGTGAGCACTAGCGTATTAGCTTTAACCCATTCGCTCCGGCAGACGACAAGTTACTTTTAGATAATAGGAGATAGTGATTTTGACTTTTATTATCTAAGTCCACAAACGAAAATTATTAGATTATTTAATTAATCAAGTATACCTAGTGTTGCCTATCTTATTTAGGTGAATTTCAACCATGTAATACATCAGACAAGTGATTACCTACTCCAGTCCAGTTACCATTGTCGTATTTTATTTAACCTTTAAGTCCTTAAAAGTTTTTATTTGAATTTTAAACTTTTGGACTGCTGTTAACAAATAGATCCTTTTTGAATCGATTTATAGCCTCGGGCATTTCGACATAGCGCCCGTTGTCGTTTACCGCTGACATTGCCAACAGCAAATGAAAATTAAATACAATTCGTAACAATTAGCCCCACGTCGGCAAACTGTCGGTCCCTTCTTCATTATTTATTTTGTTTAAAGGTATTATTTACTTCCAAAATGGCACATTTGCTTTGTTGAACATTCTTAACCATAGCGTAAGTACCTACTTGCTTAAAATACTTTACAGTAAGTACCGACTTATAATAATGATTAGGATGGTTGGTTAGTCAAGTAAAAAAGGCGGTGAAAAAGTCATCATCATCATTATCAACAGCCTATAAATCCCACTGCTCAGCAAAGCTTCTTCTCACACGGAGATGGTTTGAGCATTAATCACCAGGCTTGCTCATTGCGATTTAAAACTTATAATTACAAATTATAAGTCCAGGTTTCCTCACGATGTTATCCTTCACCGTTAGTCATTGGTCTCTAAATAATCTTAGAAAGTACACATAACTTGGAAAAAGTCAGATCTTGCCGTTGGTAGGTTTCGAATCGGCACCCTCATGCATGAGAAGCGGGCGACTTCCAGGCCACCACGATCACTTGTGAAAATGTCTGTTGTTTTAATTATCTGATCTAGTTAGTACGCTTGGTTTTGTTTGTGTAGGTCAGGAACTCAGGACTTAGGAGATGTGCACTTAGGTATCACCTTTAGATTGAAATAAGATTAACGAGATGTAATAATCGTTTATTTGTTAAATGTAAGTATTATGTACAAAACCAATTAACCGACGTAATATTTACGATTTGCATAAAAAAAGAACGTAAAGGATTATTTATTTTACATAGGTATTTTAATTTCAAATAAGTATACCTACTGATGTACATGTATTGTTGTAGTACAATATCACTGTTCTTTTAAAACCTTTATATATTGATCCAAAGCCTCATCTATTTTTTCATCCAACTCAAACAAAGTGTTTTCATGTTTTTCAATTTTGTCATAAAGAAGACCATATGCGACGTTAGGTATTTCTAAAAAGTATTTTAATATACTATTATGTAGATCATTCTGAGAGAGCGATTGAAAACTCTTAATATCTTGCCAGATTTGGTCAATAGGCGATAAGTCTTCAAAATGTGTAGGCAATCGTACCACTTGATGACCATTTGCTTTGATAACACGATCAACCTGAGCAGACGTATTCATACTACTTACACAGTTCTCAATAAGGTGATACAATTCAGATTTTTTCATAGAGTTAGTGTGTGGTATATTATTTTCACATAGCCATTTTCTCATCTCATCTTTCGTATCAAACATGGACACTTTATTAGGTTTTGGGGTTCCGTGTAACGGACTATTGTCGAATACGATCACACTTACAGGTTTCAACGACGGAAGCAAAACATCTATTATCCACTTGTAAAAATCATATTCAGTTGGAGAATAGCAAAATATGCCATTCGTAAAACCCTGTTTAGATATAGCGTGGAAGAATACATGTCCATTTGTAACTAATGTAGAACTTTTACAATTTCGAACCCAGGTCTTCTCAAAATGACAATTATCATCTATTATTCTTTCACTGACGTAATAGATGACATGATCACTTTGTCGAATATTTTTCATTCTTTTTAGAAATAAACTTCTTTCAAAAGTAATTTTTGGGTCTTCCATAAGAAGCATTTTGCCATTAGAAATACTTTGATGATCAATGCCTATCATATTCATATCATGTACAAAGCAATAATAGTTCATACCGCGTGTAGCCGGTTCCAATATCTGTATGTATTCGTATAAAAGCTTGAATGTAGGCAGTAATTTCTTGTCATAGAAATATAGAAGACTGTTTAAAATTGTTACATGTTTACCAAAATCGATACAATGATTTATAGTACATTTTGTGGACGAGTATTTGCCAATTGTTATCTCCAACTTATTTCGAGAGATTTCAGAGTAATGTAATACTCTACTTTCAACATCTTCCAGAGGAATATGCATTGGAGTTTCGTTTTCTAGTTGACATTTCTGTAGCAAAGCAATTATAATTTTCTCTAAATCTTCTTTGATGATCGGCTCCATTATTTATTGATCCTGAAACACACAAAATAATATGTTGGTTTTATATTTACCTCCTATTTAGGTAGGTACTTACTTAAAAGTACTTTTACTAGTTCGTATACGAAAATATCAAAAAGCGTTATGAGAAAAATAGATAGGCATCTAGGTACCTAGATTTGTATATTTAAATTTGTCTCGTTGATAGAATGATAACAACTGTACCTATTATAAAAATAAAAAAGTATTACGCTGTTTAATTTTTGTAGTATTGCGAATTTGACCCCGAGACCGTAGGTATTTACCTAGCTTACCCGTATTTACCTAGTAGGTTAGTAAGCAAGCATGTATACTGTACGTACATGAAGCAAGTTTGAGAGTAGGTATTTAATAAGCAGGATTTATTGTTCGTTTGGTTCAGTGGTGTAACTACAGTACGGCAGGTCGGTGAGAAGCCACGGAGAGGTTTGTTTAGAGGTTTTCAACTGAACTTCTCTGTTGTTTTTTATTGGGAACGGGGGCCCATCCGAAGAATTTGCCATGGGCCCAAAGCGTATAGTATAATTATTTAGGTACGACACTGGTTCGGTTGCAATAGTTATGATAAAATTGTGATATCTATAAGTATATTTCATACGAAAATATTTAATTACTAATTTTATATTTACTATACCTACCCGGCCGGCTGCGGCAGGCACCGCTACCGGCATAGCATAAGTACGCACGTAAGTAATATAGGTACGTAAAATGACGCGTTAACAATTACTTATTAAGTAAAAAAAAACACGCTAATTAATTATGATAAAACAAACAGTACTAAAAGTTAGTTAAATAATGACGAAATCTAAATATTTACATTAACATACATACATAACATCACGCCTTTTATCCCCGAAGGGGTAGGCAGAGGTGCACATTATGCCACTGTACAATGTAGGTAACACCCACTTTTCACTATTTATGTTATGAGTCCCATGTAATAGGGGGTAAGCCTATTGCCATTTATTATTATCAAAATATAATAACCAATATTTAAATACATTAATTATTATCAAAATACAAAACTAACCTAAAATGCAGAACCCAGACAAATGAAACTAAACCTATTCATTCATGGAAATATACTATATGAATACCTACATTATTTCAATTAATAATAAGTAGACTTACTTACTCGGTGCAATTTGCAGTATCCTTTCCTATTCGTTTATTAGTTCTCGTCACTAAGAATAACAAATCAATATCGTTTATTGTATAGTAGAAATCACATATCTAAAGTGAAAAACTTTGTAAAAATGATTACAGCTATTTAATATTTCACTTAATTTAAAAAATAATTAACATCACAGTTAAAATATTTGCTGCAAAACCAAAAGAAAACAAACGATTGTCAATTTTGTTTTTGTTTTGTGGACGATAGCGAATTCAACAGAATATACCAGTTCCACAGATAAAATAGCGAAATCCGTACCGGACGGCCGCTTTCGCAGCTAACTTCACACCATATTCTGTAAGAAAGACAAAACTACAACGCGTTTCGGAATATTAATAAATTGATTATTAGAATCCTTTGTTTTATTATAAAAAATAAAATTTTTGACGGTTTGGATGTTCCTAAAATGTTATAGGTAAAAAAATTATTTAAATGTAAAATAATTAAGATGTATCTACTACGAGAGGGCGCCACTGTAAAACACATAAGAATACTTATAGTAATTATATTTATCGAGTACTATGTGCAACTAATGACATTATATGGCGGTTTGATAATTCCGTGGCTTTTTGAATAAAACATTTTTTTTGCGGTAAATACCTAAACATTTTATTTTTTACATAACCACTTTTTAGCTCGATACATTTAATCCAGCGTTTTTCTATTTTTTTTATTCCCCCCAAATAATAGGTTTTGTCAAGGCTCTCAAAATACGCATTTGTTTCGGTAATGACTTCTTCGTTAGACTCAAATCTCTTACCACCCAGCCATTTCTTTAGGTTTGGAAACAGATACCTAATAGTCGCAGGGGGCTAAAGCTGTCGCGGAGAACCTAACGGGTAACCGGGGCTCCGGCTCGACGTGCAGGAGAAGGAACGAGGTGGTTTTTAGTCAGTAAGAGTCTGACACTCCCTTCCGCCTCACCTAGGCGGGAACAGTCATTCGATTATTTTCCCACCTTAAAAAAAAAGGGGCTGGATAATATGCTGAATGGGGGCTAGATAAATGCGACCTGAACGTTCGGCGTCACTAGTATTTATCAAGCTTTTCCTTAGTTTTAGTGATGATTTTTTTTACGTAAAAAGTAATGCTTAATTAGCACACGAAATTCACTTATTTCCATTTTCGTTCACGAGGTTGTCTGTTTTGAATAGCTGTCAAACATGAACTGCACGCCGAAGCTTGCTCAAAATTTTACAGTTGCCAACTAATAGATTACAATTGACGGCATCACTGTTGCATTTGGTAGATATAACTGCGCGGAAAATTCAAAAAGTCTTATCAAACCGCCTAAGTATCTACACAGATTTGTTTTAATAGGAAGACAATCCGTGGTATTCCGATTCTAATTCATGGTAGATGTTCCACCCATACGCACGAAGCGCTTTGCAACAAGCTTCCTTGTGCGTACTGCTAAGGAGTGGAATTCTTTGCCTGAGTCTGTATTTCCTAAAGGGCCTATAGCCTGGGTGTCTTCAAGGGCCGAGTGAATAGGTTGTTTATGGGATGACATGCTCCATCGAAGACCGAATCATCGCTTAGGTACCACCAGGCGAGATAGTGGTCAACCGTCGACCCATTAAATGTAACAAAATAAAAACAATTATTGGAAATCACACCTAGTAATTCTTGTAGTATTTTTTGTTTTAGGTATGGTATGTAAGTGCCTACTAAAGTAAGGTAATTTATGCCTATATTTAAAACTATTAACTATTGCAATTAATTTTAGAAAGGACGTTGATTTGAAGTTGGTCATGATGTATGACTGTATTAAACTTGATTTTTATTAAATTAGTAATTTCAAAACCTCGGTTTCGTTGGCAGACGTTCAGCTAGGTAGACCGACGACTTCTTTTGAGTCACGGGCTGCCATTGTGCATTGGTGCATTCAAACTAATGTGGTGAGTTGTTGTTCGGCGTGGAAGACGAAGGGATAGGTTTTCTTGTCTTATTTGTTTGATTTTATATAAATTTGGAATGAGTATTTAGCTTTATTTTATCGGGTAGAGTCATGAGAAAATTATAGTAAAACTGTTATGTGTAATGTTGTTAATCACCTAAGTCAGAGAAAAGCTGAAGTTTGCATGGGTTTAGTATAGCGGCTACTTTTGAAACTTCAAGGAGGGCATCGAATATTTAGAGCCTTCTTTTTATCAACTACGGATAAAATGACGACACGACAATATTCATCGGTTTGTTAGAGCCACAAAGTCTCAGTTTAAATTTGTGCGCACTTCCTGAGAGTTGACCCTTTGATCACGACTTTAATTAAAGCTCTCGCGCATTTCTTAGTTTTTAAATTGCTTGATACGTCGGGTCTTAATTAAGGAAATTATACTGCACTTACTCGCTCTGCAAAAAAGCCACAGTTGGTACTAACCAACCAGACACCGCTGTATGTGTGTAGTTCTGTGTTTAGTTCTTCAATTTTTCTGCCCATATACGTAGGTACTGGTTTCCTTTAAATATTGGATTTTAACAGAAATAAATGATGTAAAATTTAAATTTCTATGTAAAGCTACATTTAGAATAATGCAGACCGTTGAACAATGTGACGTTGAGTCAGTTATTTTCAGTTAGAAGAGGCGTGTAGTGTAGCTGAGTTGAGTATAATAGATCACGTAGTGGCGCGTAGACCGTAAACAAAGCAACCCGGCCGGCGACCTGACGCCCGGGGATGTTTATCGGGAAGCCTCGCGATGTATGTCGACGGGAACTCCACTTTAAATTTTTAAACATTCGCTTTAACGTCTTACATACAAGTTACTAGCCTACGGCGATGAGGTTCGGTCAACTGTCTCTTCAGCCTTAAGAAAAATTCGGCTCTTGCTAAGAAAAATGCGCTTAAAATTTTATTAACCGTTTCTTTTTGCAAGGTGAAAATTATTACAAAACTCACGCGGTTTTATTGACTTAAGTAACGAAGTCGGTCGTACTGCTTTATTTCTCATATATGAAAACTGAAAAATATAATATGTTATAGGTCCGTATTTTTGTTTATCCAAATTATTAGACCGCAGCGTACGGGGATTTTATGGTGTTATAAAAAGTTAGTAAATTATGTTCCCGCGGCATTATTGTTTCAGCTTATATTGTTATGAATACGTCGTCATGAGCCGGGGCGAGGCGGTTGTTCAGCCTTCGCCGTATCTATTGTTCAAAAAGCCGTGCCATATCTAATTGCTGTGGGTAGCTCTTCTCTCTGCGCATAATTGCGATGTTCTGCTGCAGTTCAACCAGGCTTTTGTTAGAAGTATTTTTAGTTTTGTGTAAGTATTCGATTTGTTTTATGCTTGTGTCGTTTACTGCAACAGTAACGGTGTTTTAAATACAATTATTCGATATGTCAGTAAGCTAGTTAGGCACCCCTAAATTGTTGACTTATACGGACGATTTACGATTAGGAAATAGGTACCTACACGTAAAGTAATTCAGGGTTTTAAATTGCTAAACCTTTTCATCAACTGTTTTACTCAGTCAACAGACAACGAAATGTTGTTATACTCATGCTAATTAACGGACTATATTGCACTGCACGTAGTGCTGTTAAAAAGTCTTTTAAAAGCGTGCGGTATTTCAAGAGCAGCGCAATTTCCCAACGTTCTGTTTGTGGTTAAGTAGCAATAGCGGATATTACAATCTTGAACATAACAATGGCTGTGTCAAGTTGTAACGCTGTCCTGGCGCTTACGAGAGCCATAATCACCCGTAACGATTCGCTTGAGTTTTCTTTTACATTAACAGTATCACGGAAATCTGAAAAAGGGTGCAAATAGAACGAAATCTGTGCGATCGTTCCGAATTTAATCAA